TCGGCTTATCAGACGACTTAGGATTGGGAGTCCTAAGCGAAGGATGATGCAGGTAAAACCTAGTAGATTAAAGTGAAGTCTAACTAAGTACATGACCATGCTTATATAGACGTAGGTAGTTTAGGGCAGGTACACATACGTCATCATCCGAGTCAGAGATAAGGGACATGAGTCAACCAGTGATGTCATCAACCAAGTCAGAGATAAGAGATATGAGTCAGCTAGTGGTGGCACATGGCAGCCATGCTGTAATACAGATATGGAAAGACATTAGCCTAGTGATGGCACAGGCAAGTGCGGTCATGGCATGATACACAAGTGGAAGTCAAGAAAAGAGATAGGGGTAACCACGGTTGTAACAACAAGTAGATGTTACTGTAACAAGAACTGCATTTGATGGTTCAGGAGTTCCAGCCATTCAGGTCATATGAACACACAGGATGTGAGTATCTGATATAGTACATTATTTATCTTTCTGCTTATTTTTCTGTGAGTGCAATCAATTTAAGGTCAACTTAGTGACTACAAACAATGTCATGGAAGTCTTCCTGACCCTTCCATACAACAACTACTCAAGGCTGAGCAACCATTCTGAATGGCTTGGGCAGAAGCATCTGACAAACTCCAAAGAGCTGATGTGGGACTCCAGAGGATGCAAAGAGCTGAACAGGTGAGCGTCAAAATGCTCAAGGTAGTAGATTCCCTGATTCATCGGTTTGAAGATCAAATTCACATGTAAACTTCCGAATTTTCAATGACATACTCACATCACATGTAAACTACTGGACCACTGAAATCTTTCATTACTCTGCCATTTCCAATAGATCTACTGAGGATCATTAAATCCTGAGTGTTGAGCACTGAAGTGAGATGTAAATAAATTAAACAAGTAATCTATCAATGCTCACTTTACCAAACATCACCCATCAATTACCAGGGATCACCAAGTCCTGAGTGTTGAGCACTGAATGCCAATTGCATAACATTGAGATGTACATAGATGCAGACAGTGTGGTATAAGTCCATTACTTCCTTCCCCTTGCTCTAGTAACTCAAGTAGTACTTTCTGATGGCTTCTGCATTGACTTACTCTGGGTTGTCCTCGCCGGTGCCTCAATCACCTTTTTCTTTCCCTGCATGGTGTCTCTGCCAGTTAACCCAGCCATGGGGTCATCCATTCATGATGTCAGCAGTGCACCAGTTTTCACAGGCTTGACCAGCTGAGGCTTTGGAATTGAATGTGGGACTGCTGTCCCTTCACATTGTAGAGACTTGCACCTCTATATTGCCATTATAGGACAATATACCACCCCTTCCCACTGATACTCCAGCTCTGATCCTCAGGATAAGTCACTTGTGCTATTGTGTGCTAACGTGCAACCACCGCATGCATGCAAACACACTTGCATGTCCTGTGTGCCCACTCTAAGTCCTCCACTACAGTCCATCCACCTGTCCATGTCCTTGCTAAAGTCCACTGGTGTGTTCTTATTGTATTCTTATCATTCTGATATATCTTCTGGACCAATTACAGTGCTGTAAATGTGCATGTGTGTGCTTAAGCGCCATTACATACAGATAACACTACCTACTTGCTTCACTTCCACACTACAAGCATCACCTAGTGCTCAATATAGAGAAGGGACTTATAGTTTTTTAGAGATTATCCTAGTACTCCCAACCTCTGTGTATTAGCAGTAGTTTGCACATTAGAGCAAATTTAAAGATCCCAAAAGTCCAAATTCATGTGCTACCTGCCTAGGTGCAACTGCTTTGCACCAGCTTGATTTCCTCCTTCACTGGATTTAGTTTCCAGATAGCTTTTACCTCTACACTTTAGACCCCATCATGTGTGCTCTTACTTCCTATTGCCCCAGCGCACTTTCACACACATCTCGACTGTGCTTCTTCCAGCAGTCGCACTTCACATGTCCTTTAGCGCCCATTTGGTTTCAGAGTCCCCCTCAGTCATTTTGAGGACCCTCTCTCAGTAGCTGTCCTTCGGGTCAAGTTCTGTCTTGCATCCAGGTCTTGCTGTAGAGTTCCCCCAGTAGTAGTCAGTTTCTCTCTTAGTCCAAAGTCCTCACCTTCACTGGTCTGGTCCACAACTCATCTGAATCCACAACCAGCACTCATCTCCTTTTGGTAACCCCCTGACTCTGGTACTTCAGTTATCTGTATATCTGCCCTGCTCACTGATCCATTACCTATGCTTTATTTCCATTTCATTATTAGTGATCCTTTCCTACTTACCAATAGACTATCCATATGCTCTGTACATAGCCTTGGACCCTGCTGATTGATCATGCTGTTAGATACCTATGGTATATAACCTCCTGTAAATCTCTGTAGCACCTTAGTTCAAATATCATCTTAGTTCTGCTCATTCATGTCCTCCAGACTTGAGTACCTCTACTTTCATTACCCTCTGAGACTTGGGATTGATTCCTATAGTCTATCTGTATCCACCTCTGTTTACAACAGTCCATTACTGATAGTTTCTAGTCTGGACTCATCCAGATTAGTCTTACAATACTTATCCTACATCTGTTAAGAACTGGTTTGCTCAAAGTGGAGAGAGGGACTGATTCCAAGGGGCTTGGCCTCAGCTTGTATGCTGTGCCCCTTACCCAAGTATGTGCCCTTCATTTCAGATGAAGTCCAAAGGACTTCCGGAGGCTGGCTACTCTGGTGGAGTGCAGGAGGACCTCCGGAGGAGCATGGGAAACATCTGTGGGAGCATGGGAGAGTTCCAGAGGAGTACAGGAAATACTCAGAGGAGTTCCCACTCCACAGGAAGTGGAGAGACCCCAAGGTAATATCTCTACAGGAAACAGGATGGAAGGATAGGATGGAAGGATGTCCAGAGGTCCAGAAGTATGGAGGACAGGAGGACAGGAGGACAGGAGGACAGGAGGACAGGATGTCTGGAGGTATGCAGGGGAGGACAGGATGTCTGGAGGTATGCAGGGGAGGACAAGATGTCTGGAGGTATGAGGGACAGGACATCTGGAGGTATGCATGACAGGATGTCCAGAGGTCTGGAAGGAATAGGGGCTACATCAGATGAAGTCCGATGTAGAAACAAACAGAGGTAGAGTTGGAGAGACAGGAATTGGACTTAAGTCTGGAAAGAGGGTAAGTGCCAGAAAGGCAAGGCTCTGGCCTAGGGAATCAATCCCTAGACTTGAGACAGAGACATAGGGGACAAATCCAAAGGTCCAGAATTCCAGCCTGGGGAGTCCATCCCTAGGCCTTTATGGAAAAGGACCAACTCAGATGGACTGAAGTCCAGAAGAAGATTGGGCAAGTCTAAGGTGATATTCAAACTGAGGAACTATGTTAAGGTCATACTCAAAGGATAACTGGATCCAAAGGGCCTCGGCCTCAGCTCGTGCGCTGTGCCCCTTACCCGAGTATTGCCCCTTATTTCAGGAAGGCAGGACTAATGCGTCCAGAAGGTCGGATGAGTAGTGTAATGGATCCAGATGACTTCTGGATGAGGGATAAGTATCGTAGGGCTAATCCGGACGAGTCCAGACTAGAAACTAACAGTGATGGACTGTCGGAGACAGAGGTGGATATGGATAGACTATAGGAATCAATCCTAAGTCTCAGAGGGTGACAAGAGTAGAGATACTCAAGTCCGGAGGACAGGAATGAGCAGAACTAAGATGATATTCAAACTGAGGTACTACAGAAAGTTACAGGAGGTTATATACTATAGGTATCTAATGGAATGATTAATCAGCAGAGTCCGAGGCTATGTATGAAGCATGTGGATAGTCTATTGGTAAGTAGAAATGGATCACAAATCATGAAACGGAAATGAAACATAGGTAGCGGATAAGGGAGCAGGACGGATATACAGATAACCAAAATACCGGAGTTAGGGGGTTACCAAAAGGAGACGAGCGCTGGTTGTGGATTCGGATGAGTTGTGGAACGAACTGGACGAGTGGACAGATTGAATGACGAGATGTTGGAGGGAGATAAGATGTGGATAGGATCGGAGATAAGATGTGGATCTGAGATGAGATAAGGGTCGGATCTGAGATCTTGATATGCGGATATGACAAACTACAGGAGTATATACAGGGGTTATATACTGGAGAATATCTAAGGGGATCAGTAAGCAAAGTAGCAGGGCTATGTACAAGCATGTGGAAACACATTAGTAAATAAGATGGAACATAACTAAATGAATTCAGAGATGAAGACTCATACAAGGATCAATAAGCAAGACAGAACAAGAGGTAACCAAAAGCTGGAAAGGCAGAGATGCCTAAATGGGAATAGGCGCAGGATATCAGACAGAGGGTGGGAATAGGTCCGGAGTTAATATCCGGAGGTCCAGAGATCTGGGGATCCAGAAGATGAGGTGGATACAGGACTGGAATATGAGGAGGTGGATATAGTCCAGAATCTGAGACAAGGTGAAGTCCAGATGTCTTGCTGGATGGAGTGTGCATAGGGTGGACAGGATAGGGTGGTACAGATCAGGCTAGCAGTGAGGATCTGGAGGTCCAGAGCTCAGGGGTAAATCTGGAGCAGAGTCAATCCTGCTGAGGTGTGGAGCACACAGCAGAAGGGGATCTGGGAATGAGTTGGATATGGGGTCCAAACATAGGCTTGGAAGGCATGGGAATATTATGGAATGTGGGTCTGGATTGTGGGATATGATAACATCCAGAAGTCATCCAGATCTGCTATGCTACTCATCTGACCCTCTGGACACATTAGTCTTGTCCTCCTGAAATAAGGGGCAATACTCAGGTAAGGGGCACAGCACATGAGCTGAGGCCAAAGCCCTTAGGATCCATTAGCCCTTGAGTATGACCTTAACATACTCCCTTCATTCATCCTGGTGCTCAACTCCCCTCTCCCATATCTCTAATGATGTGTCCACTAATTCATACTCCCTTCACTCATCTCACTTGGCTCCCCTCTCCCATATCTCCAATGATACATCTGCCAAATTCATACTCCCTTCATTCATCTCACTTGGCTCCCCTCTCCCATATCTCTAACAACACATCCAGTGCTGAATTCATACTCCCTTCATTTGTCCCAGTGCTCAGCTCCCCTCTCCCATATCTCTGCATCCTCATGAATATGAGGATATCACCTCCACAGAGACCTTGTGCTGGGATCATCTCATTTATGGCCCCTGGTGCACCAGGAGGCACACCCATAGCAAAATCATCATTCAGCTCCAATGATATGATACCATCCTCCATGCCCACTGCCATTCCATCTCCCTCCTGCTCATGGTAAATGATAATATGTGCATCCATATTCACTTGGAGAGGTGCAGGTCCTGGGACTGCATCTGAAACTATACCTACAGTGTGGCATGGATGCTGCTCACATGGCTGCTCACACCTTCATTCTTGCATCCAGCCTTTCCATCACAATTCCTCAGCTCTCACCACTTTCTCTGCCATCGCCAGCCCCTCCATGGGTGGTAGGGTGCCTATTTTTGTTCTTGCTGGATGGGATTCACATTGTGACTGGTCATTCATCCAACTACCCAGTAGTTATTCTAACCTAGGCCCTGTATTCATACTTGTCAATTACTGTATAGTTTCAACACTAGCTTCAAGCCCATCAGCACATGACCATGTCATGCTTAGCTTCATAGCTTCATACCTCAGTGTGACCTGTGACCATGCCTAAATAGGTTTGTTACACTGCCAGTGGCAACTTGCCATTGCCATCTGCAACTCTGGCAACCAGCACAGACTTCTTTGCTCCTACAAGTTGCTTCAGCTTAGTCGACATCATTTCATTGAGCTGCACATCCCGCAGGGAAAAGCACTGGGTGGAGACAGTCTTAAAAGGCTGCATGTCACATCTGTAAGCTCCATTTCCCTCTAATCATGCAATCTGAAACTGATGTGTTCATCGCCTCCGAGTGGCTTTCATGTGGCCGTGTCTTTGAGCAGATGACTCTTCCTCCCTCTGTAAAGCATGAAATCAAACGCTTGTTGGCCATTCCAGCTCCCATTCGATCAACCATCCCTTCACAAACACTGTCCATCACACAACTCCTTGACATTAATCTTCCTGCTTCACTCAATTGCAAACTCAACTTGAACACCATCACATTCTCATCATGCCTGGTACTTGCCTGTGTTCCCAACTTGGACAATGTTTTGTCATGGACAGTCCCTCCTAGTGGCACAACTCAACTTCAAGATCTCTTATGCAAACACACACACTTACTGGGTGACATTTCTCCTCATGTGTGAGTACATCACTGACATTTTGGTGCCTTATTGGGAGGAGCAGAAAGGACTTGTTGGTGCACCAGCCAATCAGGAGTGTATCTTGCATCTCAATGTCTGGAGTGTGCATCAATCCATTCAATTTCATTCTTGGTTGGATATGACATACCCTTGGATCAAGTACCACTTCATCCCAGGGCTTCGTCCTGGGAGGCTGTACAGGTGTTGGTCAGCCATGTGATGTTGGTATTCAATGGCCATTTAAACTCGCAGTCAAACACACACAGCATGCAGATATCGTCAATGAGTCTCTTGCTCAACTTTCCAAGAAGACTTCACCAGCACTTGTCTGACTTGACATGATAATTGGTACTCTTCACAATCAGTTGTTGCAGTGGGTCATCAATGGGTATCATGCCATAAACAAGCCTGAGCTTGTGAAGCAGGTCTGGCCATCATCTCTCTCTTTATCATTGTTGCATAGCTAACTCAGTATTGTTCCGAATAGGCATTCTTCATGTGTAAAGCTGGGAAGGACTTCAATCTCTCGTTCAAAAGTCTTGCAAGTCATGAGGCATTACAACATCTGTGGGAGGTCCAGCAGAATGATAAAGCTGGGTGGATCAGAATTGCAACTGCTCAGTACGAGACCAGTGTCAAAGCTGCCAATGAGCTTGAGCTCACAGGAGATGTGGATGCAATTAGCACTGAACCTCCTTTTGACAGCATCAATGAGCAAGACATCGATGCCAGTGATGTACCCATGGAGGTGCTTATTGATCACCTTGCATCAGGGGGCATGCATGCTGTGGACAGTGGTCTGTCCTCTACAAACCACTTGGAAATCTATAGCATTGGTGAAGATACTGATTTAGGTATAGAGGGCAGTGTTAGGGATGCTTAACAGGGGTGTGGAAAGTGTAGACAGATCGCAAACAAGATGTACAATGACTTCTGGACCCATTAGAGTAATTCATATATTTTTTTTTCTGTTTTTACCATATGTCACAAATTAGCTTCACCTCCCAAAAATTTGCATGATGGTCACGCCAAATAGGTTCGATTCAACAGAGGCTGTGACACGTGATGAACCTAGTGTCGAAACTATACAGTAGGTTACAAAAATCTCTTATCACACTTAATTTACTTTTACATCTTATTAGCAACATTTGTTTGAATCACGTCTGCAAGAAGTGGGTACCAGTAAAATAAGTGACATCAGAGCTTTCCTTTTTCTACTCAGCGAGATCAGTAATACAAATCAGTCATTTAAGTGCAAAAAGGGACTTGGAGATTTTGCTGATGATCATACAGGTTCTGGTCATGAGTCAAGAATTGGTATTTGTAATGTAGGATTATGATGCAGGAGCTCGGACGTTCGAATCTGCGGCAAGTATGATTGTATAGTCGATGAACCGCCAGACACACAGTACTGAACTCTGGGTCCTGTGCCTTTCATAGCTCCAGAAAGTTGGAACGACATGTTCACTCTAGAAGCGGGATTTGGATGAGATTGTAATTAATTAATAAGTGGGGCGTCGGGCGTTATTAAATTTCCACTACTTCTTGCTGAGTGCTTGCAGTTGTACGAACTCGTAATAATCTCCTCTCAGCGCAAGAAGCTCATCATGGGTTCCAGATTCGCTGACTCTGCCTTCCTTGATGAAATGTCTGCAAAGTAGTGAGAAGGTGTTCACGAATGCCAGCTCTCGATTGACTCACATGCGATCAGCGTTCTGGATAGTCGAAAGGCGATGGGCGATAGCAATGGTGGTGCGACCTTTCGCAGCTTTGTCAAGGGCTTCTTGCACGACTTTCTCTGAGTTTGAATCAAGGGCTGACGTAGCTTCGTCGAGCAGAAGAACCTTTGGATTCCGAAGGAGTGCGCGAGCGATTGCTATACGTTCTGGATTGTGATTTCAGCGCACGAAGAAAACCATCTGTCAATGAATGATACACACGCTTTTGACCCCCCGAAAGCTGGGATCCCTTGCCACCGACTTCGGTATTGAACCCACTATTGTTATAATGTCAGTAAGTCCCGAGTGTGCGCAGAATTGAGATCTCACTCTGGAAGTGATTGAATAAAATCTAGTATATTGGCATCGCGGCAAGCAGCCTCAATCTCTTTTTGTGTGACCTCAGATTCTGGTTTGGAGGCACCGAGCAAGATATTGAAGTGGATAGTTCCCGCATACAAAGTCTGCAAGGCAAGTAGTCAGCTCTCTCCACCAAGAGATTAACATCACGAGTATATTCACAGGCTCTTGCGACACAAGTGAAAACTGCTGTCGATATGCCTGAACGTTGAATTCGTCGATAATCTCTCCATCGAGCGAGATCTGTCCGGAAAGTGGATCGTAGAAACGCTCTAGTAACTGGACACTAAATGAACTTTCAGATGCCTGTTCGAATACGGTACAGTGGCGAGACTTGCACTGTGCTTTTACCGCAACCGCTAGAGCCGACTAAGGCAACATAAGTTCCAGGTTCGACGGTAAGCGAGAGGCCACGAAGAACCCGGAATCCGGGACGGGTAGGATAGTTGAAATGAATGTTCTCCAGCTGGATGCGGCCCTTGATAGTTTCGCTCAGAACACTTTTGCCTTCAGTTGACTCTGCATCAATCACAGGAGTTGAATCAAGAAGTCTGATGACTGCGTCGGCCGACCCTTTGGCCAATGAGACATCAGGCACAAAGGCAAAGACGTTACCAGCCTGCATTGCGCCAAATACCGTACTCTGTCAAAGTTTTGTTCATTTCAAGGATGTCCGGAGGTTGGCGAAATGATCATACCATCAAAGCAATGAAGAATGATTGTGTCGAAATCTCCAGTCGCGAAACGAGAGCCGCACCATACCAGAAAACTAGAGCAATTACCCAGAACCCCATGGCCTGAGAGAGTGCGAATAGCATGTTGCTCCAGAGCGCTGTCCTGATGGATTTTCTAATGGGTTCTTCTAAGCTCTGTCTGTAAAGATTAAGGCAGTGCTCCTCTCGGGTCAATGATGCAACAGTCCGAATAGCCGCAGCAGCTTCGCAGGCAATCTGAGCGGAGTTTTCATGCGCTAACTTGTTCTTTTGATCTTTCAGAACAACGACTTGCTAGAAAACGTGTAGCACAACGGGAGCTTATTATGCAAGTCACGTACCAAACGTATAAAGCCGGTGGACACCAGGACAGGGAGACATGCTAACGACGAAATGTATAAGAGGGAGGCACGAAATCGGGAAACGGTACGCACCCATGCCAACAAGAGCCAGCTTCCAAGCATATGCAAGGCCAACGGCCAAACCAGCAAGTATAGTTGTGATAGATTGGACAATTCTAGCCAAATTTAGTGATGTCGTTGCTTCAGGAGGACTCGTGATACTCACGTCCCCAGAGTTACACCAGCGAGACCATTGATCTTCTGGGGGTTGTCGCCCAAGCGTGATGTCAGAGCACCAGTCTTCAAGAGTCCGATGAGTGTTCTGCACGAGCTGGAGATTTGTAGGACTCACGCTATTCTTGTCATCGTCAAAGTACTCGACTAGTTCCATGGGTGAGAAAAACAATTTGGCAATCAAGGCACTCACTATCTTGTCGGAGGATGGCTTTGAAGCTCATTGAACGGAGCTTGGCGGTCAAGACAGCAGCAGAAGAAGCAAAAAAGTAGTTCTGGAAACCAATACAGAGGCCGTACAGAATGGCAAGAATGAAAAACCTGGCTCGATATAAGCACCAGCACGATTTCTAAGAAAATATGTAAACTCAACCAGAGAGCATTCCGGTCGCCTTGATAGCGGCGCTCAGAATTTGTGGTAGCGGAAAAACCGGAGATCGCTTGTCCTACCTACCAGGATAAATGGCATCCCTTTTGTTTGGCTAAAGGACTTACCATAGATTATACCAGAGGCAGGATAAGCGGCACCATTGCCTGCGGAAACGTATGAGCGCAGCTGATGATATATGCTTCGCGAACTTACATATGGCAAAGAAAGATCCGATCAAGTATCGGTAAAGCCCTTCGCGGTAAAGACCAGCAATTCGTCCCATCAAATAGAATAGACCGTAGGTTTCCACTGGAGCCTGGTCCCCTCCTTTGTCCTTTAATTGACTGACAACGTCGCTTCTGATGGAGCGAGTGGTGCTCTTAATATCGAGGTCTTCAGACCTAGGCTTCTCCAAATCTTTCTCGTCACTTGAAATCACTGCATCCAGAGCTTCATGACCTTCGCGGAGAGTTTGAGCTGTGACGAGACGAAAGTATGCGCCATTCTCGTCTGCTAGGAGTTCTGCATGAGTTCCTCGCTCCAGTACGAGTCCCTCGCCCATTACAAGTATGCAGTCAGCGTCCTTGATCGTTGACAAGCGATGAGCAATGGTAATGGTAGTTCGACCGGCAGCTGCCTTGTCCAGAGCATCTTGTACAATCCCTTCAGAGCGAGTATCGAGGGCGCTCGTTGCTTCATCAAGAAGCAAAATCCGCGGATCCGACACGATAGCTCGTGCAATGGCGATGCGCTGTTTCTGCCCTCCCGATAACAGAAAACCTCGCTCACCAACCATAGTGTCATATCCTTGTGGCAAGAGGCTGACAAAGCTATCTGCATTAGACTTGATACAGGCTGCTTTGATAAGCCGAAACTTTTCCTCATCAGATGCATCCTCGTACGGTGTGCCAATGAGACCATGTGCGACGTTGCCCCTGATGGTTGTCGCGAAAAGTACGGGCTCTTGTGAGACTAGACCAATCTGAGAGCGTAACCATTTGATGTTCAGCTCTCGCAAGTCAGTTCCGTCAAGCATAACAGAGCCACCGAGTGGATCGTAGAAGCGTTCCGTAAGAGATACAATGGTAGATTTGCCAGATCCAGATGCGCCGACGAGAGCAGTGGTCTTGCCAGCCGGAGAAGGTGATGTTGATGCCTTTGAGAATTGGGACATCTGCGCGAGATGGATAGTTGAATTTGACGTCCTCAAATGTAATCTCGCCAGTAACTTTTGCAGGCTTTAATCCTCCTGGGTTTTCAGAGTCGATATCAGGGACACGCTCAATCGTGGCGAATATTTTAGCGGCAGCACCACAAGCACGTGTAATGGCTTAAACAAAAGATTGATGAGGGTTCCGAATCAAAAGTGGGACCAAGATTACCTTGCAATTCAGGCGCAAGGAGGGCGAGAGAGAATGATCCGATTAAGATGGACATGAAGACATTTACAACCTGTCCGGCGTTAACTGCCAACTGATGTTAAATGTGGTTTCACGACACAGAAACATGAACGAACCCTGGCCCTCATTTATGAGGGTAGTTCCAAAATCAAACGCCAGTGCATATGCAGCGTAGATGACGAAGAAGAGGCAGCCTAACCCTGCACCGTTCCATATACTCGCTTTGGTGTCGACGATGCGAGTTACATCGATATTCTTATCGTATATTCCAGACAAAACTTTCTGTGTCCCGAAAGCCTGCGCGGTGCGAATCGTGGATATGACCTCTTCTGCAAGACTACCTGCCTCAGCAACATGCTTCAAGGACAATCTGATATTGATCGAAGATCAGAGCTTCAGGATGAGCTCAACAATAAGTACACTCACTGCGTGTATTTGGACACAAACTGTTTCATGGTACCGGCTACAACCATGATGCACGGAAGGATGGACGACAATGCAAGAGCGAGACGCCATGACCGAGCAAATGCAAGGATGAAGCCAACGAAGAATGCGCTGACGAAAGTGACTGCAAGGGTGACTTTTTCGGATATCCCCAGTTGTACCAAACCTATTTCAGAGCAACGCGATTTCAACCATCCACTCTTGAAAAGTCCAGTACGACTTACTAGTGTCGGATTGGATGCGCGTCGCAACCTCTCCAGCCCCGACATCATCAAAATAGGCGATTTCCTGTCTAAGGATGGCCTGAAGATACTTCTCTCGTATTCTTTTCCCATTGACCTCTGAAGTATAAACCCAGGTGTACATGTACAGATACGTGGAAACAAACATTGCGATACCTGGTACGAGTTCAGGTGGATTGGGCCTCATTCTTATCGAATCAAGAACTTACCAATATAAACGAGGTAAGAAGCATCCAGGCCAGCACTATGACGGAACCCGGATGCAGCAGCATCCAATGCAGCCTGCGCCTGCTCAACAACATTCGCATCTGCAGACTGTAGCGATTGATAGTACTCGTTCTCTGCTAAACCAAATGTAACGAAATCTTGAGTCAGTCTACCGAATATCAAAGTCATCAGAGGCTAGAATAGAACGTTAGAAGATGTAACTGGCAAATCCGAAAACTCACTTGCGAAGCGCCAGCAGCAACAGCGAAGATTACGCCACAAAGGTCCAACATTATTTCAAAGCGAGTTGAATACCTGTTTCGGTGAACAATCACTCTCAGTCAGAAAGTGGGATGATCTAACCGAAATAGCGATAAGAATGACACAGGGACGAGTGTATCCGCTGTCTTTGCGATCTCAGCTTCGCTCTCCATTCCCTTAGGTGCTTTCTTTGGCCAGGGGAGAAACGCTCGGATGCCTTTGGAACTCTGTTTCATTTCCAGAGCGACATGTCCTGGGGTTGCCAGCTCCTTTGAAAGGGCAGGCTCCTTCTCGTCGGGAGGGGCTGGTGGGGCAGATTCTGCAGTCATGTTCTAGAGCAGCTTGGGCGGACGGCTGCAAGGAATCCATGCGTTTATCTAGGTCACTGCGGCTCCGAGGCAGCCGACGGCGTCAACCCACTTCTCACGTGCTAAGACACAGTCACAGTGCGCCGAGCCTGGGGCCGCAGTACTGAGTAGGAACCTGCGGAACAATTAGTGGACCTGTACCTCACATACGCGTTGCTGCGGCGTAGAGGCTCGTTCTTCCACGTATGACCAACACATATACACCGTGTAACTGATGGCACATTCTCTATTCACACGAGTGTCGTTTAAACGACATGGCTGAAGTAGCATGTCAGTTGTTTTTTGACCTGCTAGATCTGAGCAAGCGAGGCCCTTGCTTGGGATTTCCTAACCTATCGCTTGGCCCATGAAGTCCGCTACAGAAACGACTTCTGAGAGACATCGAGACAGAAAACACAAAAACATCTGTCTTCTTCCAATGGCACGCTTATGTCATTCCGTTGGCAAGTGACTCCTATGTTGATGCCAATGTTGGGCGCTAGTCTAATATATCATATAGCTGCCTTTCTATGGATACAACCGGGTGAGAGTACCTTTAAATTTAGAACATATTCATCCGACTTGATGATAACACAATTTTCAATTTGGATCACAACTATTTCTAAGCTACCTCGGGGCACACTATAATACATCCATTATAAAATACTTTCGTCTGTCTGTGAATCATTAATTTTAATCATTTCTTATTAATCTCGTTGTCCTTAAGTGCTGCATGCATGGGCGGCTAATTGTGGGCTCGTTTGACAGGTTAGTGGTTTACAGCAGTGAGTATCTCGGTCCTCCAACAGAATGCTGTCTCACTTGGATTTCTCATGATCATAGTACTCTGGCAACCAAGTAGCATTTTCTCAAATCTCTCTTCTGTCGCCAAGTACAAAATTATAGGGAATGGCAACTTGTCACTCATAAGGCTGCTTGACCTTGACACTCGTGCAATGGAGACCCCACAATATCAATTGCCTTTTTTGGTTTATCTGCTTTTGTGTAGCTGTCATTGTCCGCTCCGTGGGCTGTGCCCGGAGAGTTCTTGGGAGCAACGATTAAACGTCTAGCCCTCGGGCATACCGTTGTAGCCGGACAATTCACGGTATATACATGGTAACGAACAGATAAGTTGAACTTCTTTACGCACCACAGTAATCACTCTCTTTCCTTCACAACCGCGCCTCTGGCCCGGCGGTCCTCGAGGCCCATTTCATTCTACGACTTGCCGTTTAACAACGCTCCTGGTAGAGCTGCTTAACCATGACATTTAAGTTGTCGTACTTCTTTTGGACCCCCCGGCATATTAAGCTCCCAGGAGAGATCAAGCCGATGAGGCGCCAGAGGTCGATAAATTTGTGAGCGAATCCGAGTGTTATTGGCTCGTCACAGAATTTGAATAGCTTCGTCCACATATAGTGCTGATATTCCTTCCCCTTGGAATAATCACCTCTCAGCAATAAGAAGGTCGTTGGAGAATAATGAATGAAGTGCCGCGATTTGGGCGCTCTGATGGGCTTCGGATAAATCTGGGGTGCTATGAGCCATGTATCAATAGATTTTGCAGAGGTAGCAGCTGACATCTTGGATGAGAATTATGTGTATAACAGGAGTCATTGGTGTGCGTTGTGTCAATAGCGGAGATAGTATGTAGTACCAAATCAACATAAGTATATTATGACAGGAACAAAATGCAATGTCAGTGTACTCTCCAAATGATTAATGTAGTCAAAGTGCAACACGAAAATCAAGTCCCAGAATACAGGTTCCACAAGGACAGTGACTACTGAATGTCCGCGTCAAAGTTCTGATCTAGTAGTGTTAGCCATCAACCAGAACTGGGGGAAGTTGGGAAACCTGATAAGTTGTCAACGGATGCGGATGCATTGTTGAACATCGCTTTTAGCGCCAACTCGTTCCTTCTCTGCCGCACTCTATCCACCTCTTCTGCTCCGCCTGTCATTCGCAATTTCTTGCCACCCACAAATCCTGTCAGTTCCTCCTGAAATTCGTCAGACCGGCTCGCGAGTTCTCGTTCCCGGTTTTTCTGGTTAGCCTCAATCGCTTTCATCCGTCGCTCCGGGTCAACCGCCGCGCCCCGAATTTCCATCATGACAGTACTCAGGCCAGTATGCCCCTCGTCCGCTGGAAGAGGCTTGAATCCGCGGCCTCTGATATTGCGTCCGGGGGTGGCGCCGCGGATAGAAATGACTTTCTCAACATGCCCAAAGACGTCCACCAAAGCTTTGTGGTCCTCAAGGAGATCGGTCAAGAATTCTTCTTGATGACCGAGGAAGCCTTGCTCTTCTACAATGTTCTGCAGCTCCTCTTCCCACGTCTTCTTCCACATAGGTCTGACGGTGTCGATGTGCTCTTTGAGACTTGCCAGCTCCGTAGCAGTGGAAGCGATGTCCTCTTGAATTTGCTTCACTAGTTGAGGCTTGGGTGTCATATGGCGCTTGAGGACGTCATCTCGCAGTGCTTCCACCGTGTCCTGCAACTCCTCTACCTTCGTCAGCACGTTCTGACTCCGAGAGTCCAACTTCGTCTTCCCCTGATCTATGAAGCTCCGTGCGCCGCCAACTTTGACAGAGGCTAACTGCTTCACGGACTGCGTTTGTGTCCGCAAAGCGCCCAATGAATCCTTTGTCGATTTCATGAACTCCGTGTACAGCTGCCTCATGATTCCTAGATCACGTCGCAGGTTCTGTACCTCATCGAATTGCGTCTTCAAATCATCCACCACTCGACTGGAGTACTCGGACATCACCGAGGCCCCCGTCGTTTGCGGCTGTATTTGAAGAGACTGTCCAGTCATCTGAGGCAGCACGAATGGACTGCCGCTCGAACTCGCGTCACCCACGATGCGTGATAGCCTACGTGCGACATTATGTAGTTGTCTTTCGGATGGCCGATCTACCCTAGGTGTGCTCTCGACGAAGTCATGGGCAATGATAGGATTCACGTGGGACGATCGACGGTCATTTGAAATTGCGGTGCGAAGTTCTTTGAGATCGTTAGACAGCGTTGATATCTGAGTGTCGATGTGTTGCTTTATTTGATCGAGCGCTGAAGAATACAATATGTCACAATGAGAGCATAGGGAATGGAACCTTACTCACGTTCGATGTTGAGAGATAGTAGGCATCTCTCCTTCACCTCCTCAATGTCCTCCAGCTCATACTGCACGCCGCTAGAAGGATCGCGTATGTATATCGCAGGGAAATTCTCCAGGCCCGGATTGTACGAGAACTTGTCCACGAATAGCATCCGCAACGACGAAAAGGACAAACCAGGTTCAATGGTGACCTTTTTGACTTCTCGCCCGACTTGTAAGAAAACTGAAAACGTGATCGGCGAAGTAGATCCAGGCGTTTCTTCAAAGATTGTAGGCTCGTCTGCCACGTTGTCCGCCTTAGACACGGTACGAGCTCGTTGAGAGCGTGCGGATTCTGTTAGTGGAGGCAGTGGAGGAACAGGAGGGGCTGCCTCTGCCTCGGCTATGGGCGACGGTGTTCGCGCGATCGTTCTGTTAGACCGCGTGCTGCCATTACGCTGGACGTCCGCTTCATCCACTTCCGTTAGAACCGCCAAGTCCCCTGGCGTCAGTAATGGCCCTGCTGCCATTGACCGCCGGTTACCTGACCGCTCCCGTGAGCCTGTCATTTTCGTGATATTGTACGTCGAAAAGCGCTTCGACGCACGCCGCTCGAGCACGTCACTCTTCTTCAATGCAGCCAGGGAGCTGGCGACTGCAGGTGCTTGCAGATTATCGATATGAGGAGTTTGTGGTGAGGCGATTTCGGCAGGAGAGGAAGGAGCTTCATCTATCAACACTGCAGGGGGTGACGGAGGTGACAAGGAAACTGGTCTATCGACGAGTGAATAGCGCTTGACGGAGGCAGGCACGGGGATACTCTGAGGTGTTTGTGGCAAATTCTTGTCTGACTCGCTGGGCGGGGCATGATGTGGAGTTGCTGTTACAGAAGGCGCGACCAAGGTCTCTGATGAGTCGCGCGAAAGCGCATCACCATCGGGCTTGTACGTGTTCTGCGATTGTCGTGCTTGAGGCTGTGCTGAGCCTCGATTGGTATGCCCATTGACACTGTTCGTGATCGTCTTTTCATGAGGCGGCGATTCATCGTCAGGTTCGCGGAATATGGGTGGCGGGGATGCTGGCGGAGGTGTCTGCGTCCTCGGGTCTTGTCGTCTTGCTGACGATCTTGCTGACTGTCTTGTCGTGCTATCCCTGTCCCCCTCTCCTTCCTCCTCCAATACGCTACGCGAAAGCTGCGACCGATGTCTCGAATCGTCATCACGCCGTGAAGCTTTGTCAGACTTTGATGAGCGACTGTCCGTCCGCGAGTGGGATGAACGATGTCGGCCCTGGTGCTCTGACACGATCCGACGGTACATGGACTGCTTACCGCGGAGACCCTGAAGGAGGTTGGTGATAATCTTGCGCACTGTGGGTAGATACACGTTGAGGTTGTCTGGCGTGGCCTCCTCTGCTAGGCAGGTTTCGAGGACCTCTCGTAGGTCTTCGGGCACGGACATTAGGTCTCTGTTGGGTTATACTTAGTAGTTGAGGGTTATGTATACCTGCAGGCAAAGGCACGCACGACATATCGATATTAAATGCAGCAAACGCAGCCACAGCCGCGTTGAAGTCATTCCCGAGGCGGACGTAGACGTCGCTCACCTGGATCTCGTCCATTTTGCCGGTGCTCCATTGGGTGAGGGACTCAAGAAGCTGTTTGATAGCCACGAGAAGACGTGTGACAGCAGACTCGACTGCGGGCTACAACCTGGATAAGACAGTTATTACATTGCAGATAAGTGCACTCACATGTGCGTGTGAACGACTGCTACGTGAAGAAGATGAACTTGAAGAATGAGTAGAGGCTACTGACTGGTGGTCACGCCGTGAGCTATGCCCTGCGTAGGGCGGGGGCGGCGGCGTTGACCTCGTTGAAAACATTTAGGAGCACAAAGGAGGTCAGTGCGCAGGTAGGCGCTTTATGCAGGAGTATGCGGTCTTTCGCTACCCTTTTCTGCCATGAGAATATATTTCCAAATTAAGCCACTCAGGTCGCCATCAATGATCAAATGCAGTGGTGCACGGAGATCTGAGAATGGATACTTTATGTAAAGGCGTAGAGCGGTGTTACATAGAATAGGCGAGTTATCTTCAAGTCACTGATTCTTACGCCCGATCACCGTACAAGTTCTTTAAGAGCCATAAATGCGAACAAGATCATACTGAATGTACAGACCCGTGGCGAACACGAGAACATGGCCAGGCCACTAATTATAAATTACATCGTACATGCCCTTTGCCCAACAATTCTACGATCTTGGGTTGAATAATGGCGCCCCTGGTCCAGCTAGGATATAGCTATTGAGGATCTCGTCTTTCTCTGTGCGTTTGTACGTCCGGATAGTTTCTCCATAATCGGAGATTTCGTATATCCGGAACCGTCGGTCAAACCTAAGGGTAGAGTAAGCCGAATGAAGACGCAAACACATAAATTATAATTCAACCCACCCAACCCGCCCATACCCGGAGTACGACCTGCGTCATAAAATGAACACAATGGCACATAAAGACACGGTGTACCACTTACCCTCCACCTCCAAAACACAGCCATATATCCTTGACACGTTTGCAATCCTCCGTGACTGGGGCACTACATCAGATCCAGGATCCAGGATCCAGGAGACTATGCTGAAACTTACTGTGGCAGTGTCCATTTGCGACCACCTTCACTTCGGGTATGCCTCCACTCGTAACGTGCCCACTCTCCAGTGCTTTCTTCAAACCCTTGTCAAACATCCCATCACTCTTCTTCGCAGCACCGGATTCTTCCAGATCGTGCAGACCGATGTCTAGCAGTTGGCCAGTACGCACGTCCCTGTCTGCTGCACCGTACGACTCTTCCCTGGGAAAAAGTAATCTTAAAAGTGACAGAAACGGCGTAAGAATGAACCCACAGAGGAATGTGGAAGAACATAATAGCATTGGGCTTGGCTAATTTGCGCGTCGTGGGCGTGATCTGATCGGCCTGTCTGGTCCATATGGAACCAAAGTCCTTGCCGGTGTCCGGTGTGAACGGACGCTCTATGGGCTGGATCTTGGAAGATTCTTTCAAAAACCAATTAATTTGGTCCTTGAAAAATATGAGCGCAATTTGACATAATGATATCAAGGAACACTGACCTCATGTATCCAGTCGTACTCCGTCGGGAAGAAGTACCCGAGCCAGTCCAAGTAACCGCTCGAGTAGGATCCAGAGTCCAGGAAGTACAGCGTCAACAGCGATGTCATGGAGCTATCAAGGGGGCTCAGCTTATACTCTGACACCGCTGACCGGGAACACTCACGCATCAGCACTCTTGACGTTGAGAACGTAATTTCCAACACCGTGAATATCCTTCGGACCCCTCTGCACCATGGAATACGGAAGGGTCTTCATCATACGCAATTGCTCCTGCTTCACATCGCCGTTCTCCTCGTCATGATTGCCGAAGATAGCTGCCCAAGGTATCTTTCGATCTGTAGCTGCCACCGCAAACTTTGCTAGAACGGATTTGGGATCCCAAGACGTTCCTTGCCCGTTAAGCTGGTCACCAGAGAAGACAACAAAGTCTGGCTTTTCTTCATCCAGAACGTGTCCGAGAAGTGTATTAGTGAGATTATCGGAGTTGATGCAGGGATCAAGATCAGTCTCCCGACAAACGCCCCTGGACACAGAGAAATGCAGGTCTGCGACTTGCAAAATCTTGAATTTTCCGTCCCGTGAGAAGTGTAAAGGATGTGCGCGAGGGACCGCTGCACACCAAACTCAGTTCACTGTCGACATAAAGGCAGTTTATGCTCACACTGCACGCCGCGCCGGTACGTCACATACACGCTCTCTAGTTGCCCCTCCTTCTCCGGAGTTACGGGAGGCTCTAGTTTCTCAAATCCGTACCAAGGTCTGTCCTCCCCGAAGAGTACGTCGACCTCGGTAATGAGATTGGCTTTCTCTTCTGCATTCATTTCACTCATCGTTTTGCCCGGGAGGTACCAGAGGTACATTGGTTCCGCACGCATAATGCCATCGCGTATGGAGAGTTCTACTTTTACCCAGGAATCTGTGAGAGGTTCGGGGACTTTATTGGCAGGAAGCAGGCGCAAGTCGGTGACGAGAGGTATATCAAGACGGCGTGTCCGCCTGTAGTAGACGTTCTGAGGTAAATTTGGTGAGTCACAAAGTAGGTAACATGAAATAGTGGTGCGTGCGCACCAGAGTCCAGAGACCAGCTTGCTTGTTAAGATCCCGGTCCACTCGAACCCAGTTGCCCTTGATGGCATCCTGCTCGACGGTTGTGGTGGGTGCGCAGAGGTCCCCAACAAGACTCGGTGGCATCATACAACGCGTGATGGCAATTTCAGACACTGTACATGAAATTGAATTAAGTCCCTGACAAAATTGGCAAGCACACGTACGACCGGTATCGTGAGGTAACAAGGGAGCCCATACGTCAAGGGGGTAGCTCTCTATATCATCGGTAGTATCCCATGGCTGATTGGATGTGATTTCCCACCAATCTGTCTCGTCATCGTTGCCCGGAATTGGTTGGGCCTCATCTGGGTCACCAATGACTATTGGCGTAGAAGGTTCCTTATCGAAGTAGTCAACAGTGGCGACGGCATCCCAAGCTTGCCAGCCTAGACGCTGGGCAATCCCAGGTCCGACGGTGGGCTGATATAATACGAAGAAGTATGTCAGGAGGCATGAGAAACCAATGACAGCTGCTGTAGGGAGCAAGATGCCCCTCATAGATCGGCCAATGCGAGAGAATGAAAACGCAGCCATTATGGCCCGTCAAGTTCTAGATAAGTGAGCGACCACGGTCAATGAATTTAAGAGAATTAGCGAACAAGTTACCTATAGGAAGGTGATGACCAGGAGCGGTCGTAGTCTTAGTCTACTAGAGGGCTGCGTGTTCAACGAAGGAAATGAGGGGTCACATATCCAAATCGAGCAAATAATTGGGGTCAGGCTACAAATTCTTCATTATGGGAGTGTCCTCAGAAGGCTTCTTTTCCTTTCATTCATTCCAATATTTTTCGCGAATGCAGGCTCTGTGTCGTGTAGCCCGTCGTCTCTATTCGACGCAACCCCCAGAACGGGCTGCCAGCGCCCTGCCAAAGCTTGCAGCCGCTGCCAGAGATGCCTCAGCTCCAATGGCCGTTCGTGAACGTCGCGAACGCAAACGGGCCTACCTTAAACCTCCCGCCGACAGCGACCTCACCCCGTCAGAATATTCGGGCTACAGAAGAGCCCTTGCCAAAGGCGAGCTGATGGATCGTCAAGGGAGAGACATGACGGAAGCTCAATGGCTTGACGCCCTCAATGAACGGCGGACGCGTCTTCGCGGTCTGAAGGTCACGGACAATCACGGAGAGAAAGAATTGCAGGTGGTCGGTCAGAGAATCTATCTCCCAAACATTATATTCCGCATGGTGCGCAACCACACACCCACTGGAAAGCCCTATAACCCCTACGAAGCCACCTTCCGAGTCCCAATGTCTGTCACGAAAACCGACGTACGCTCATATCTATCTGCCGTGTATGGCGTTAAAACTACCTACATTCGAACTGCCAACTACTTCTCGCCATTATATCGCAGATATAATGGAGCAAAGGCGACGCGATCATACCGGACATACAAGCGTGCCATCGTCGGTCTTGTAGACCCATTCTACTATCCTGAAGCAATGGAAGACATGACTGCAGAGGACAGAAAGAAACGGATGGAATGGTTGAACGAGAAGTTTGCATTAGATGCATTGAAGAGATGGAGGAGACATGAACTGGTGCGGACGTCCTTGTCGGGGAGCAAGAACTGGCGCTTCACTGGTCATCTGCGGAGGGATAAGATTCTGAAGGCAGTTGCCAGGAGTCGTTCCAGAATGCTGCGAGAAGTCGAGGACGTGAAAGAGGAACTGGCAGACAAGCGAGCCAAGGGGATTCCCATCTTCTCTGATACTAAGAGGGGCTCTAAATGGAGGGAGGCGCTTCTTGCAAACTAGATCCAATAGTTCTACTACTGTGATATTTTTATTGCATTGGACTCGGATTGTTTTGCAGTAAGCCTATTGGTTTTCGAAGGAAGAAATCCCAAGGCCTGGTGCATGCCCTAGACTAACATAATAATTGATGTCACATTTTTGCCATCACACGACATGTCACCTTGGTACTAGCCGAGGGAGTCGGAGGACTGCTTTCATTCCTTACCATCATGTTATCGCATTGACAACATGTTGACAATTTGAAATTCTTCACACTCACCACGATGTGATGATGGGCCCAGTCAGGGCCAGCCTTGACTAGTCGTTGACTGGTGATAGAGACACTGAAGAATTGAAGGTCGGATTCAATCCTCGTGAGGGTCATCTTTGGTCTTTTGTGCTAGCTCCGAGTGCATTGTCAGACGGTTGCCCAGCATAGCCAAGATTCACGACAATTCCGCTCTCCATTACGACTATTTTTGCTCGTGGCTGTTCTCAGAGCAACCGAACCTGTGTATTGCTCGTCCGTGCAGTACTGATTGGAACATGAAACTTGTTATAACGCTCAAAAGGGAGGTGCACAGGTCCACTGCTTCCCATCCTTTTTTCTTCCACTATCAACTCGCAGGCTCGAGTCATTAATACTTCTTTTCTCCCCCGGACTGCAGGCAGTCTGTCGTTTTAATTCATTTGTAAATTTGCTTTCTAGAGCGTTATGTTTGCTTCAGCTAGCCTCACGACCCTTTTGTTCCTTCTGTTAACTCAGGATGTATCGGGAGCACCAACAACATCAACGGCTGTCGTAGGGTGGAGCATGCCTATCCGCAGGCTTAACCCTTCTTCGCAGAACTTCATACTGGTGGCTCAGCAAGCAAAAGACCAAAGAGATATGCTTGCTGTGAAGTACGGTGGCCAGTCGCTTCAAGCAAAGGGGTACTGGGTATAACCTGTATGTTAAGTCTTTTATGCCCCAAGTGTTTCATCCTCAACGCCACGCGTATAGCATTGTCAATCAGGGAATTGACACAGGGTGCGCAGAAAGCTCTGTCATCTAGCACGCTTTTGCTAATTCGACATTTTCAATAGCTACTATGGAACCATAGCAATTGGGACGCCGCCAGTGTCCTATGATGTGATTCTTGATACCGGTTCATCGTGAGTGCAGTAGTGAATTTTTCGGCGCAAATCGCTTAGAACAAGTTTCTCCAGCGATCTCTGGCTGACTAGTTCTACTTGCGGAGCAGGCTGCGGAACCAGCCCTACATACGATCCTGCGAAATCGTCTACTTTCCAAAATCTCTCGACACCGTTTGAGATCCAATATGGCTCTGGCGCAGTAGCTGGTTATGTTGCTGAGGAGACTGTTCAGATGGCTGGTTTCTCGGTGGCAAAACAAGGCTTTGGTACGTTGTCATGTACACCAAGTGCTTAACATACACGTGACAAAGCTTGTTAGGCGTTGTCAATGCTCTTTCGTCAGCCTTCAACACGAACCCTGTATCCGGAATAATGGGTCTTGCCTGGAGTACGCTTTCTTCCACGCAGCAGATGCCCTTCTGGCAAACTTTGGCTAGCGGTGGAAGTTGGGATTCTGCGTTATTCGGGGTACAGCTCACACGGTATGTGGAGACTGACTGATCTCATTATGTTTTCCTGACTCGTGGCTGGTAAGCTATGGCAATGTGTCCGGTGCAGCTCAAAACGAGCCAGGAGGAGTTATTGACATGGGTGGGTATATTTCTCCCACGTTATACTCTCCAGTTTAATGTGACAATTTGACAGGTTACACAAACAGCAGTCTCTACACGGGAACAATTGAATACCATAACCTTGTTGGAACACCACAATACTGGGAGATTAACATGAATAGTAAGTAGAACTCGATATACATATTACAGCTAGCTGACGTGTTTGATACCCTAGCATTGACTGTACAGGGAAAGTCCATCGATATCGCCGGGATCTCGACGGCTATCATCGACACGGGAACCACAAACATTGCAGGCCCTGCCAGTGCTATTGCGAGCATCTACGCACAGATCCCTGGATCACAAGCAGGAACGGGCCAAATGGAAGGATATTACACTTATCGTAAGTACCAATGCTGTCATGGAGTTTGTTGGCTGACAGGACAACTTCAAAACTAGCCTGCAGTACGACGGTGAATGTACAGTTCAACTTTGGTGGTAACAGTTGGTCAATGAGCTCCGCGGACTTCACGCACTCCCAGGTCAGCACCACGGAGTGCCTTGGGGCTTTCTTCATCTCCTCAATCGGCCAGGGGGGTCCTTCGTGGGTTATTGGCGACGCATTCCTTGTAAGTTTCCATCACTAGTTCTACGTTCTCTGGACAGCGTCTGATTGATGCACAGAAAAACGTTTACTCTGTCTTCAAGTACAGTCCCGCCTCTGTTGGTTTTGCTGCGCTATCAGAGACTGCTATCGCTCAGAATGGTGTCAAAGCTGCTGTACCATCTCCGACAATCGGCGCTGTGACGGCTGCTACAAACACTGCTGGTGCTGTGTCAGGTGCTGTGTCAAGTGGTCCTTTGAGTACATTGCTCTGTTTCTGGCTGGCTTCAGCATCGATAGCTTTTTTGTTCTGGTGATATTGTTGATATGGACATCTGACATAATTACAGGTTGTATTAATACAGACATTACACATGATTATCCATTCCTTGCAAGAGAACTTATGCTGCAGTCAAGCTGCCATACTGACCAGATCAACGCAATTGCCGTGAACCTTTCTGGCACACTTGCCGCCTCCGCATCCAGTGACAGGCATGTCCGCCTCTGGCGGCTCTCAGATCGACGAACCGTTGCCATATTCGACCACTCTTACTGGGTACAAGCTTTGCGATTGGTTGCTCGCCTTGAACGACCATTCGGCCCATTTTTGCTAGCGCAGCGTGACGGAGAATAGAAGAAACTCGGAATGGTTTCAGATCATGATGATATCATTTCCCAAGTCAAGAACATGTTCACGACATTGGCGTCATGACCCTAGAGACATTGCAGTGTAATTTTAACTTTTCAAAGAATAGCATTGATGAGCAATTTTCCGAACTCGTTCTTGCTTGTCATACTTCGCTGATTCACAACAGCAGACACAAAATCCCTACACACTCAGAGGCTTCCCTATGAATCACACGCAAATTGCGCTGTTCGTTCAAGTCTGACTTCTGGCGGCGGCGAATATGAGCTACAGCCCCCCGCATCCCACATTGATATTCCGTTCGTCTGCCCCTGATGCATAGCGTCTAGAGAGTATTTATATTTGGAGTCTTCCACCGTCAATATTTCTTTTGCGGCGGCTATAGTTTCAAGTTCTCCATACATTCTATGTCTAGTAATGAATTGAGCCACCCATTGTAAGGACAACGCAACAAAGCCCTCACATTCGAAGCAGTAACGACCAACATTTCTTGGAGATACGGCACGAGGAGACTTTGAGGAGATTCCATGTTTATCTATATGGCTATGGGCGACTGTCACGAAGACACAGAACTTGGCTGCAACAACAACAGACAGTCTCCCCCAGGCATAGGGGCAGAAGGGAGCGATCTAGTACGTGTCCTACAGTCCATTTGACAGTCACAAGTATCGTACGCAGAGGTACAACCAGGGCACTGGGGGCCCTTAGACTAGATTGTATTGTCCTCCGTAGAGTACACTCTCAATAGGACATTAATCGGAATTAAAAAAACGGTAGCGATCTAAATACTCAAGGCCAATCCTCAGGACTGCGCATTAATGCCTAGCGTATACCGATTACTTGCGAAGGGTCCACAGTAAACTCTGATCAGTGATAACCCTGCAAAAAGGGTGCATCTAGCCCGTTTCTTGAACTTTCTTCGTCTTTCTTCAGGCTGCCGCTAGGGCTGAGCCAGCGCTAGCCTGACCGTAGCCCTTGGATGTGAGGGGAAGAACTGTAACTTCACTATGGCTGAATGTCCTAACTCCAGTCCTCGAAATTCTCAACCTAGACTTGCAATTTGGGTCGGGACAAGCAACTTCGGCATCCGTGCTCATCCAATCATTTGGGTGGGTAACACGCTGCTTGGCTGCTAGAAGCGGTAGAACAGCACCTAATTACACACGGGTGAGCAACGATAATGAAACTGAAAGAAGTAACAATCAGGATATTTACTGAGCGAGTAAATGGAAAATGCTTGTCCAGACGGGAGATGAAGCATTTCTCCTTCGAGGATAAAATGGTCACCCTCTTTCGCTCCACATAGTATACGTTCCCCTGGCGGGCATATGACCTCGACACGGAGATCATACAGCTGGAACGTATCAACTGGCGGCAATGACCCAAGACTGCCCATTTGGCGGAAGCGTTCGGGACAAGTGGTGAACGGATGCAATGGTGGGCGCTTGATGCAAGTCGGTTTGGCGGCAACTCTACCGGTCCATAGATTACCGACATCCTGCCAGGTTGATAAATCCCACTCTTGTACAGTGAGATCGACAGTGGAGCCCACTGAAAGCAGGCGTGTGCTGTCGGGTGACCACGCAAGTGATACTGTCCTGTCCCATGCAATCGGCAGCCCCCAGAAGTCGGCACTTTCACAAAACTCGTATTTCCAGCCACTTAAACACAAAATTCTCAACATAGATATCATTCTTTCTCTAATACAACTCACTACGAGGTCGAACAGATACGATTGAAGCAGAATTGAGTGAGATGGTTGAAAGTGCCGAAGTCACGCAGAAATGTCACCTGCCGATGTGTGCCGTGACGGAGTTTCAATATTGCACACACCAGTGCCGACTGGTGCTGTGCTGCTGGTCATGGGGCTGGTCCGCCTTCGCAAATCTATCAGCGGGAGACGAGGAAAGCTGCGAGCTTCATCATACCCTACATATGAGTCGCGCATCCAAGCTGCAATTCAGGAAATTGCAAATGGGCTATGTAAATCTGTTGCAGCTGCTGCAAAGGAGCAAAATGTGAGTTGTCATTCATCATGTGATTATTTACTCAACTGGTCTAGGTATTGTGTCAGACACTGAGTGATCAACGCTTGGGAGTCCATAAGTCTCATTAGCATGCTCACAAGAGTCAGCAACTGTTATCTGCTGCACAGGAGGAAACCATTGTTGACTGGTGTAAACTGGCATCTACATCTGTGACTCCTATCCACCCAGCAAAGTTGTGTGCATGCATTAAAGAAATAACTGGTTGACTCCTGTCATGAAAATGGCACAATTGGTTCATTTGTCATCATTCATCCCTCTGTGTATCTTGACCAAGTGGACTGGACCCAAAGCATGCTTGAAATTTCAACAAGGATACCATTGGGGAGTTCTTTGAGATGCAGAAGAAGCTTGATGATGACTATAATAAAAACCCACTGGCATCACTCACTCAACATCACAACTGTCAGCCCCCATCCCACATCCAGTTATCCCCACATATGATCAGGCAATGGTGTTGATGAAGGAGAAACTTTGGTATGAGCTCCAGTGCATGTATGGGCAGAATGGGGCATTAGTCCAGACAACCCAGATACTGACTGCCCAGCTTGACGCTACAAATGCACACTGTACAATGGTGCAGCAGGCATTGGCTCAATCTAGATTGGAGTTAGAGAATGTGAAGAAAAAGAAGCAGCCAAGGAAATCCATCAAGTTATGGGCCTGTTTCATGACCCACCCAGAGCTTGAGGAGGACTTCAACAAAGCAGAGGAGGAGTGGCGTGAAAAAGACAAGGCTGATGCAGAGAAACAGGCCAAGAAGAAGATGGAAGACAAAGTGCACAATGCTCAGATTGACCATGATATCAAGTCAAAGATGTTTGATGCGCTCTCAACACTCCAGTGCAAGGATGATTTTATCACACATGCCAGCACTCTTAAGATTTCAAGAGATGGGACAGTTGAGGAACTCTGGACTAGAATGAAAGAGTTTCTTGCTGATGCTGCCAATCAACACTTTGCTGACAATCCATGTTTTGCCACACTGTTCCAGACAGGAAAAACACATTCAAAGAATCCAGCCACCACATCATCAACAGAACAAGCCAGTACTAGTAGCACTTTGCAGGACAATGGCACTACCTCATCCAACACCTCCAGTAATCATTTCATCACCTCGCCTGCACACTCTTTCAATTCAAATTATCCCCCACATTTTACCCACCAGCCATATTTTCATCAATTCTACACTAATCCAGCTCTCCATGCACCATCTTATTCTTCAACACACTATACTAATAATCCATCCAGTGGTCCCATTGCATCATCATCAAATTTACATAGACAACCTCAGTATCCACACAATGTACATGGTCTCCCTACACATCCCCCTCAATTTTACAACTATGGTACTAATCACAGTCACCCTCATACTTAGATTCTACTAGTAAATACTGTACTTGCTTGCTCACGCTGAATACTAACAACCTCCTTGTGCTCTTGCTTGACTGCCAAGCTGACTTTGAAACTGACCTATGTGACATGTCGTGACTTTCAGTGACATTTGTGTGACTGCCGACTTCTGGACTGCCGATTGCATGGGACAGGACAGTAAGTTGAATACAAATCCGCACGGGGATGGGGTCGGTGAGTGAGCGGTAAAGTTTAGGCCCTCGTTCCTTGATCCCATATTTAGAAACTCGTCAGACGGCGAATACCGAACGCAGCTAACCCGATTACTACAGTCAAGTGGACTTCTCCTCGTCTTTGTGTTCCACTGTTTTATTGTTTTCCGATGATGAACCGCACGTGGCTGTGGGCTTTGATGGTGTCGAGCACGATGAAGATGAACTTAATGCTGTAGGATTGCGGCGTAGGTGTCCAAGCAGAGGTGTGTTCTATTGCCTTGTACTCTTTTATTGTTGTGCTACATCAACCTGCCTCGAGGCCCGGGATATGATGCAGACCCTTTTTTGAAATTGCAATCAGAGTATCACACGTACCTCGCCCGACGGTTTGACGCCATGTGCATTTTCCAATCATGGAGACCAACAGGGAAACCGGATTTGCCGCAGTTTTTCGAATTTAGCCTTCCGTGTGGCATTCTTTTACCTGTCAGTGCTCGATATCTGCCGGATGGCATCGGGCTCGCATCAAGTCATGTCCTGCTTCTCGTGTTGGAGCGCTACTCCAGGATGTGACCATGCGACTTGTCTGAACGATCTTGCGTATGCTCTTCAAGTGCCGACTATTCACTGGTGCACCTCTCTTCCACAAATCTGAGATGCATCCAGCTGTCACCTCATTCATTCCATCTACTAGTACTGATGCATCGAATGCAACCCCAATCTCGTTTCCAGACTCCCAGAGGCAGCTCAGTGGGATGCAAGCTGATTGCCTTTCTTCACCAACGTGAATGGCGTTACGCAAGTTTGTGCAGCGATGTTTGTCCGACCGCATTCGTAGACTACAAAGCATGCTATCGACCCTTTGGACGCAAAATTAGATGTATTCGTGAAGTGTGGACGGACCACGAGGAAGTTTACTGCGAACACCTGATCCTCAGGGCAGACCAACAGCGTTCTCCACCATTTGAGTGTGCGGGAGTCCGTACCTGCCCTTGATATTCAGGAGTTCTCGAACCTTTGAAGCGCCCGACATACAGGTGAGCTTTTAATCACGATATAGAATTCTGCTACTGATTCGTAACCAGAAAAATTGTATGGAGTGGATTCAGGGCGTTCGGCCATGCAGAAGTCACTATACTGCCCATTCACGAACCTTGGTTTCACAGTCGGGTTGAACAAATCCAAGATAACGAAACAGCTGGATTGCTGCGTTTGTGAGAGCTTCTGCTACTACTGGTACGGCAAGTGCTGATCAGAGTCAACCGTGGACCCCTTTGCGCATACTTGCTACACGCTGCTGATCTGAGAAGTATTACGTACAACTTGGATTGAACCAGGATGTCCAGATTTTGAAAAGTCGATTAATAACCCATCCAAAAGGCAGCGGAGTTTTGGAAGACACATCCAGCAGGTTCGATCAAATGCAGGGTCCTGCATACATGTAAAATGCAATGGGGGTGTAGTTGTTCTGTTTACGTTCCGACTGGGCAGAGCATTAATACGTACAACCTGAAGCGCGTGCCTATAAAGGGTAAACGCAATCAACAAGCTTTGACAGTGACATACAACTTGCACACGACCCTCTATTTCCCCGCATTAAAAATGACAGACGTCGACTGCGACATGGACTTTGAGTCGAGCTCATCGTCATCTCGAGATTCGTCCCCGTCGTCGTCGCCGTTGTTAGGACCCTTAGACTCATCTCCGCCCTCGAGTCCGCAGCATGAGCCGTATATACTAGACTCCCCACCCCAGACACGTCTAGGTTTCTCTCATCCGTTCGCGGCCTCGACAAAAGCCAACAAACGCCCTCCACAGCGGGAAAAGAAGGCAGATACTCCCCCGAGTACACCTCCCGCGTTTACTCCCACACCATTGTCCCGTAGCTCAGTCTATTCTCGCTCGCTGGGAGAAAAAGACTACTCGCACGACGAAACATCAAGTCTCTTATCTCTAGACTCGAGCACGTCGCGTTACATTGATCGCGATGAGCGATTATGGGACGACGCGTTGCGCAAACCCTTCGATACAGGTAACGGGCACATAGACCTGAGGTGCCGTATTTCCCAGTTTCATCAATCTGACCTTCCTGACGCGTCTTATCTTGCATACAGCAATCTATCGTTGAAGACCATCCCTGCGTCGGTCGCCGATCTCGCGGGTTTTTTCAACACGACGGAATTGTCCGAGCAAAGTTTATTTTCCGGACGCAGTTTATCACGCGTCAAGACCGAGCCAGCCTTCAAGTCCCGAGTGCGTTCATTCGAGCGGACAAAGTCCATCATAGACTCGGGCAAGGAGCGACATATGCTACAGCTCTACCTCTTTGGAAACAGCATCCACCATCTTCCTCCTGAGCTTTTCAAGTTAGAAAATCTGACTGTGTTAAGTTTGCGTGCGTTTCTTTCCTGTCTCTCATTCTTATATATTTATCAAGTTATAGGCGGGAACCAGTTGACATACATTCCCCCGGAGATATGTCGTTTGATCAACTTGAGAGAGCTGAATATCTCGCAGAACCGCCTGCCATACATTCCATCGGAGATGCGAGATATGAAACTCTCAAAGTTACAGCTCAACCCAAATCCTTTCTTGACCGAGCCAGCCTTTTCTCGTGTCCCCTCGGCCTCTCGCGACATCCTGTCTCAGCGGCGGTCCATGACTCGCATATTCTCACAATACAGGGAGTCGGCGGCGAATTCATCGAGAGCGATCACAGTATCTCCCCTGACGACATTTCTTCCGGGCGTACCTCCACTGGCTGAGATCTGTTATCGGAAGTTGCTTTGCTCACTGAAAGGCGACAACTCTCGGACTGTGCTCAGCGAATATTATGGGGTCCCTCTTTCCGATGTTTGGAACGTGCCAGAAAATGTACGCGAGGTATTGACGGACAACGTGCCCGGTGTTTTTAAGTCAAATGATATCCCTCCCAAGCCTCGAAAGCATGGCCGGAGGCCATCGCAGGGGTCGGGCGGGTGTGCAAACCCGGAGCACAAGGGCCGATTCTTCGTGAGGCACGCTGTAGAGCGATTCACATGGGAGCGTCACATTGCTGGTGTAGACGTGGGTGGAGCAGTTCCGCTGCGATGGAGAGGGTGCATAGAGACGTGCTTGGCATTCTTGGATGAGGGTGTGCGACAGGTTAACGCTCTAGAGTTGCCACCCACGGATACGAGCGATGCAATGGATTTTGATGAGACAGATGCCGTGATGGCAATGGACTTGGGCGGGTTCGACGTGGATGAATTTGATGACTGAAGGTATATCACGAACAATCAAGACACTCCATATGGTGACAAATCTGTATAGTAAGTATCTGTTTCACCGTTCTGTATCATGTACCATAGCTTGTGCATCATACTTTATAGTATCAGTGACTAGTGACTATGCCTTACAACTGGTTTGTAATCACTTCGAATTCTGCTTTACGTTTACATGCTTGGGAAATTTTTGCACGCTCCAGTAACTAATTTACAACTTCATATTGATAGACCAGGATTTCGAATTCTTCCTTAGCCGTCATTGGAGTGATACAAACAGATGCGCTTGTGCTACGGCCGCTACATTTGCAACTGCTACGTACCAGAGGCCGCCAAACAGCAGGTCGCCATGTCACCTTGTCGCCACGGTATACCTTCAGGTGCACGCGCGCCGCGGACTTTTGGATTGGGGGGACGAGTTCACAGTTCCTGCACTCCACTGCATTGGACAATTCCGATACAGTCTGCCAGGTGCTTGAATGTGGTTGAATTCCCTCGCATCATTCCGCCTTGCGCTTCCTTCCAGATTAACCACTGCTTCCACTCACAGTTGCGGATGCCACTCCTATGAGTGAGCCAAGCGATATTCCTGAACAATATTACACAGGTAAGGGTGTCACTTCCTGAGAGAATGTAAATTCACTCTGTGCAATCAACCCGCAAACGATTGACGAGATTTTTTGACACACTTTGGCTTTTGAACCATTCAAATCGGTGCACAAGTGAGTTTGCAACCTATTCACGCAAGCCTAACTCACTATTGGAAAAGCTGAAGAAGATGGCAAGCTAGAAACGAGTGAAAATGTATTGCTCGGAGTAGGTGGGTGAGGCATCAGCCGTGACTCTGAAACTTGGTATTTTCAGGTGGCCTTCGAGTCTCGATACCAATATCACAGTACGTTCCAGTGCTATGAGATGGCCGGTCGGTTAAACCTCTCCTACCTTTATGCCTAACCTGCCGTTATTCTTTCTGTATATTTTATCCTCGCCCATTGCCTGTATCATGGGATAACTTGTTCTTTCAGACCCTGATACCTCAGGTGGAAGGACGCAATCTACTTGACTCCCAGGACGTGTTCCAATAAAGCGTTTCATCGCCGATACCTCCAGACCCCTCACTTGTATCACATTGCTTCCCCCACACTACAATCCATCAAAATTCTCACAACAGCGCTGGATTCCAGGGGTGCCGTCCGAGTTGGTGCAACCTTCGGTGAACTGGGTGACTCCCGCGCACAAGTATCCGCACGGAGCCCAATTGCATAATATGTTAGTCTCCGAGTCGGGCGTGGCTCGCACGCCAAGAGGACTGATAATTGTTACTGCGAGGAGAATGGCTTTCAAGAAGTTCATCTAGACCATCAATGTCATAAGTTGGGTCTACGGTTGGTGAGTTGACTCTTACCATTGCGACTGTATAACTGGTGTCAAGCTAAAGCTGCGGGCCTGTTTGTTTTTCTGTTGTTTGCCGGTTTTATGCTCATGCAGTAACACGCATATTTGCTACTCGTCAAAAAAAATAACGTCTAAGTTCAAACTCAGTATCATGCCAGCACGGTGAGCATGGAGAATCTAATAAACAAACAAAATCATTCAATCCGATCCTCTGTCTAGGCCGACGGCCGCATGAAAGCAAAATGGAGTTGATTGAACCAGACTCTTCAAGATTATTACCTGGCTGCTGGCATTACTAATTGTTCGCATGCTAGGAGAATGGGGAAACAAATTTTCTGATCTTGAGCTCCTTGGAGACTATGAACCTTCGCGATAATTGTATTACTATAAAAGTATAATAAAACCGAAAGCAGGTGAAGTTGCGAACTGCAGACTACATCTGCCTTGTATCGCATTCCGTTACGGTGTCACGGAAGTTAAGCGAAGGCGTGTTAGTCCAGCCCAGGACTCGAACATCCATTTCACGTGTGGAATCGAGGCAGATGGGCTTCGGGATCTGCGGGTCACCATGGACGAGATATTGCGCTGGCCAAGCCCTTCGGCAGACGTTCGTGCTTGTCTGTCCATGTGATCATCGCCTCCCGGAGCTGCGTGATTTCACATTGGACAGCCTTTTGGAGCATTTTTCTAGCCGAGCAGTGCATCGGAGAATACAAGAAGATCGCATCACACCGTAATATCATTGCACACGTCAAAGACGTGGCTTCAGTTCACAATATGAGGGACATCACGACTGTAGAAATCTTGGAGCTGTATGGATTCTTCGAAAGTCCAGGGTTTTTCATTTCTGTTCGTGCGCCTGCACCCACTGGCACCGCCGCCTAGCCCACTACCCTTGGACTTCTGATGAAGCTAATTCAGCTGTGCAATGACGTGGCATTGGTTGCAGTACATAGATTAATGTAGTCGTCGTCCATGACAGGTTACTACCTACAACTCATAAAGGACTGTCCAGTAACAGCTATCCTCCATCAAATCATATGGATACATTGATTACAAGTGAGTGTGGTCCAAATTTGTAAGCGTCCGTTAGTCCCATAAACATGAGTCCTTCATTAGGAAGGGGAATCCAGATAGCATCGAAATTAAAGGAGGAGCACTGCTGAGAAAGCTAGGAAGAGAAGAGTAGACAATGATGCGCTCAGTACATGTGTACGTGGGGCATCGCTTGTGTTCGTGACGGCTGCAGATACTACACCAATGGTCGCGGAAGGGACGGTGCCTCCAGCGCCATTTTCAGCGATTGCGACACTTGAGAGATTGGCGAAGCCAATCGAAGCGGGGTTGTAGCGGAAGACAGAATACACATTTTTCTAATAGAATAAGGCTTAGTATCGTAGAACTCGAGGGTCGTTTATCATTGCCACATACCAGGAAAGCATCGCCGATGATCCAAGAGGGGGAGCCAGTACCAGTACTTGCTTCAAAGAATGCACCAATGCATTCTGTTGAACTGGTTTGTGCGAAGGAAAAATCTGCTGGGCTTATCGACCATGTGGCGCCACCGAACGATAGCTCTACATTTACAGTCGTCGAGCATGCTAATTGAGCGTTGAGCCACTCGACCTCGCGACGCTCAAGAGGTTTGCTTACGGAAGCTATAATATCCTTCCCATTCTCCCGTAGCTGGTTGTGAGTTTGGAATCTGTGCATAGATGGCTGCAACTGAGCTGGCCGGACCGGCTATATTGGTCGTGCCAGTATCGATAGCAGCAGTTGTTCCTGAAGTAATAGAAATGGAGCTGCCTTGCACAGTTAATGCTGCATTGGAATAAATGAGCGATTTCTTATGAGTTAGTAAATCACTTACAAGTCAGTGGTATATACCAATATGAAGGAGTTCCGGGAATATCAATGTAATCAATTGAGCCGGTGTACAAACTACTGTTTGTGTAACCTAAGAGCAGTGTTGTTTGAGTAGATATTTCACAGGTTGAAACGTCTCATACCCATATTAAGGACTCCTCCGGGCTCAAGATCCTGGGCGGTGGTATCATTTGTATACCTGTTCCATGTCAGTGATACACTTCATTTCAAAGAGCAAATGTTGTCACCGAGTGAGCTGAACAGCAAAGAGAGCCGAGTCCCAAGAATTACTGGAGGCCAAAGTCTGCCATAAGGGCATCTGACCTGAACTTGCTATGGATTGCCATGCCAAACCAAGCAAGCCAGAAACCGGTGATGTTAGCATACCTGTTGACACTTCGTCAACAACAGCTGTAATGCACGTAAGTAAACGCCAGCGGGTCTGTTAGTAAGAGGAGATTCTGACCAAAACCTTGACTGGAAACGGAGAATCCCGCCATTTGCACTGTGTCCTGTGCAACATAGCCAGCTGCAGAACCCGAGCCGTACACTATGTCGAATGACGTAGATAGATTCTGGAAAGTTGATGAAGATGATGGGTTGTATGTAGCACTCGTCCCGCATGAAGATCCACAAGAAGAACTAGCGACCCAGAGATCACTGCGATAATGTATTACTAAATTATGTCAATACGTCAGCTGCACTGGAACTTACGAAGAGCCCGTGTCTAATATGACATTAAATGACATTGCAGGTGTACCAATAGCCAATGAACCATAGTAGCTGTGCGGATGCTTCAATTAGGGAGCCATGCACACCGGAGAACATATCTAACGCCTACCTAGAATCATACAGCTGATCGACAATCCTGAAAAAAAGTTCCACTTAGCAAATGCATTTCCCGCTATAATACTACGCACAGATTGTAACCAGTGCTTCTTTTCTGTGCTTTCGGGCTGCCATACTTTGCTAGCAAGTTGTTCCTCTGACTCTTCGCCAAAGTACCCCATTCGGTGACATCTCGAGGAGCTTGGTTCCTTCTTACAAGGGAAATGGTCTGACCAGAAACCGGAACTATGTCCGTCGGTGCTCCAAAGGTGTCCACAGGTAGCGCGAGGAGGGATGCAAGAAAGATTAATGGTATCATGCTAAGACTCAGGCCTCAGCTTTGAGTGTTAAGTTACCAGAGAAGATCCAAGCCGAGAGACCACAAGCCAGTGGAGAATGAGAAATAACGAATGTGCAGGACGCCACCCATCCAATTGCCCTGAAATACATGTCGATGATACACTCAGCGCTGCGCATTTATCCGCAGCTAGTGGCTACATAGCTTCCGACATTGCTAACGGCCAGGTATGAGAAAGCTCTTACGTACACAGTGCGATCAGGGCATGTGAAAACCTGTGAAAATGACATGTGTGTGGGAATAGCCTGAGGAAATCAGTGGATACACGAGCTTGCCTACAGTAAATTATGACATCATATACCCAGTAATAATGACTAGCAGAAAACACAGCGTCCCCTGCATGTTGGTCCAAGAAGGCTGTGCGTAGGTGGGGCTGTAAATGCACTAGTAAGTAGTTCATAACCGCAGTATTAGGCTTGTACAAATGACACTAAGGTGGCGAGGAAAGCGGAAATGACAAATGTCACTGCGCGAGAGGTGCGTGTTGACGGTGCTGCGCTTGACTCTAAAGTGAACATTGCCGAGTTAGCACCGAGCGTAGCGGAAGGTATTCCTCCAGCTTTGCCATTCATTGCGAGTGCGATTTCAGACAGTGCTGCGAATCCGACGGACGGGGGATCGTATCGGAAAACCGAATAAACGTTTTTCTATCTCGTGGCGTTAATTATCAGAAGTGGATATCGCGCCAAGAGAACATACCAAGAACGTATCGCCTATGATCCAGGGAGGGGTCTCGCCAGATGTAGGTATTGCGTAAAATGCGCCATAGCATTCATTCGAGGTGCCTGTGGATGTGAACGCGAAGTCACCGGGGCTTACTGACCAATTGGGCCCTCCAAACGAGATCTCCACCACAACAGCAGTGTCGCAGGCTTTTCATAGAGTTTCGGTCTCCTTGATGCCAAAGAAATATGTCGTACTTACGATAAGTGTAGAATCCCTCCCAGCTGCCCGTCCCGGGCTGAGATCCGGGGATCTGAGCGTAAATGGCTGCGATCCCTGCCGCAGGCCCTGCCACGAGTGTCGTACCGGTATCGATGATAGCATAAGACGCACTGCCACCTAGTAAAGGTATGTATTTCCCTTGCACAATCATCGCTTTCAAGGTGCTTGAGCGACACAAACAAAGTAAGATTGCAGTGAAACTCACAAGTAATTTCTTGAAGCCAGTACGAGGCTTGTCCATCGGGAAGGTCCTGATAGTCAATCGTACCGGTGTATAAACTCTCGTTTGCATATCCTGGAAACGAAGGTGAGACACGCCAGGAATGACATGACTTGCTCTTGTACCCATTGTAAAGATCCCCCAGGTTCTAGTTTGCCAGCTTGGCTGTCATTTAAAAAGCTAGATCATTTACAGTAAATGTCCCTGGGGTAAATGGACATAACAAGGATATATTACCGCGTCAACTGGAAAGCCATCAAGGGTTGACTCAATTGGCCATTACTTGCAAGTGCCTGCCAAAACGGCATGACACCAGAAACTGCGAGCGACTGCCATGCGAGACCAAAGATTCCGGTGACAGGATTTTGCAAGAAGTTCGTCGCGGTAGTTGTCACTACCCCTGTTACGCGTCAGTATTGGACAATCAGATTAGTATGACGATAAATAGTTAAATTTACCGAATGCTTGGTCGGAGATTGTGAAACCAGCGATTTGAACAACATCTTGCCCAACGGTACCTGCTGCGTAACCTTTGTCGTAGGTTACACTAAAGCTCTTATTCATATTTCTAAACGTAGAGGATTTTGCTGAGTCAAAATTGCCCGTTCCTGCACACATAGACTGGCATGCGGACGAGGCAATCCACATATCTCTGGGGAGAATGTTAGATAGGTCCGCTTCTGCGTGAGTACACGACGCACGAGGATCCAGTGTCTAAAATTACGTCAAATGGATAAGGCGGTGTACCAATAGCCAGAGATCCGTAGAAACTGCAGAAATTGAGCATGCTTGGACAGAGGTGGAATACACGACAGACTTTGCATCCAACCCCTGGTTGACCATCCTTTTCATCAAAGATTAGCGTCGCACTTCAGTGCATTCAGGTTAGATAGTTCAGCATACAAGTTCTCGCCCGTTCCCCGCTTTTGACTAAGCTGTGAAGAGTACTTCGCAATTGTGGCGTCCCGCAGGTTCTTGGCATACTCTGCCCACTCTGAGACATTCCGTGAAGGCTGCGTCCTCCGTGTCAAAGGTATGAATTGTCCAGCAGATGGTGTGTGCCCCTGAGGTGCCCCAACCACCTCCGATACGATGGAGAGCAAAACAATAAAACCGATGGCCAATGACAGAGGCGTCATGAGAGGAGCTGAGCAAAGGAATACGAGGAGAACCGGATTATAATACAAACAATACTGAGCATGGGGAAGAGCTGCAAGGTGGGAATGACCAAGAATCACAGAATCGCGTACTCGAGAGCACGGACACTCTGTGGGACCGTAGGGAACGGTTGCACACATGACATCGCACAGCAGCTCTCACGAGTAGCGAGGTTGTCCTAGTAGCTGAGGCCCATAAAATGGCCGCTACCCGTATTGACGGTGGGCTGGATGCCGACGTGCTGCAAATGCCTTGGAAAATATGAAAGAAGTTCAGGACGCAACTGCTGACTGAGCGCTGAGGTCGTCAACACGAGACAAAGATCTTGTCATATTCCCCGGAATTGATCCGTAACATTACCGCGTCATGTTTGCAACCGCAGTACTTGGCAACACTGCCATGGGCCTGAGTTAGTACTAGTAGTGAGTTACAATAATTGATAGACCCACAGGTATCCCTTGATTTACTGCTGTGTCAACACCGTCATGATTCAAGCTGGCATCGGATACTTATATGTTTTTTGTTCCATGTGTCCGCGACTCCACAGTGGGGAAGGTTCTGTCAGATCCGTATGTTGAGGTGCCTGGAATGATCTGGGTTCAAGGCCGCCATTAGTTGATCATCGCGGCCCACTTATGTAAGCCATGTCCTGGTCATCATTTTTGCGCAAGAGTTATTGTACCCGCGCTTAATCTTGACGATTGTCAACTTCACAGAAATACCTTCATACCCTAGTCTTGTATTACCGAATGCATCACCGCGATATTTCTGCCATTTTCTGTGCTGGTAACAGCGGACCCTTGCAATTCACGTCCTTAAGCTGCCGAATCTGTCGAGAGTGCCACATTCGACATCTGGGACAAGATGGCATCATACATGCACTGTACTGTGTCCCAACGCTTTGCCCATCAGCCTAACGTGGTTCTTTCGGACATGCATTCGTCTGATCCTGTCTGGTTTGCTCATATGCCTTCGTCTTATGCGGATAACCTAAGTGCGCTGTCAGCTCCCACTCTCTGCACTGCTGCCCAGCGCCTTGGCTGTCACCGATCTTCCGTATGCGTCAAGGAGGTGACTGGCAATTTATATTACAGTACAAGTAGGTAGGGAGTGTTGGATGGGCTACTAAGTCAAATGTAAGAAGATACTACCTGTACTAAACTTGTGGCGATCTTGATGACTTACAAATACGAAGGATATTAGGCGAACTAAAGCCAATGAGATTCTGCATGAACAGGACTGACATGGATAGCGTTGACCGGAAGGCCGTTCCCGTGTATGTCTGAACGAACTTGCGAGAAGCTGGAGTCTAGGATGCTGTGACAGGGTGCTGGATATGACTCTGGGAGCCGCCGGCCGGACAACAGAAACGAGTACTGACATGTATTGCATACATCGTGGAACGTTGTCTACAAGCCTTTAGAATCAAACAAAAGAATCGACCAGTCAAGGGAGTCGGGGACTGGCGGCGGGCCGTCGCTACGATCTTGATATCATGGTCAAAGATAGTGTTCTTATCTTGGGGACAGCGATCTCAGGATCTTAAATACGTTCCCTCAGCTTTTCCATGGAATCCCTGAGGGGATGGATGTCTAGAGTGTGGTCGGTGTACAATGCTCTATATATAAGTATACACTAATCAGTACACATCCCTTTTATCCGTCATGATGTCGTACTACTTTTGCTCTCCATTGCTATTCTGTACTGTACCAGCATATCCACGCTGATCATTTTCAGGCCCCATCGATCGGCAAACGATCGGCAATCATCGCGCCGCGCCATAGTGCCCAACGCATCGTCATTCACGAGCTCGCATAACACTCCCCCTAGAGGTTGATTGGTAAGGGCACAGAGATCGACACCCGTTTCCGTATGACCTCTGCGTTCTAGAACGCCACCGTTCTGTGCTCGCAAAGGCACCATATGCCCTGGACGACTAAAATCGGATGCAGTCGAAGTGGGATCGACTAACTTCCGCACGGTGAGAGATCGATCATGAGCGGAAATGCCAGTTGTTGTGCCTAGAAGATTTTTTAATCGTGGTACAGGCTTCAGAGAATTAAAAACAGACCATGCTTGTAGTCTATGGTGATGGTGTAAGCAGTTTTGTGTCGCTCCTGGTTTTCGGGAACCATCATGGGAATTTCGAGTTCATTGAGACGCTCCTCGGGAAGAGAGATGCAGATATACCCGCTAAAATAGACATGAAGATGGAATGCATGGGTGCAAAGGAGTCATACCTCGTATGCTTGATCATCCATGCCATGGCTTCCACGGAACACTGACTCGCGGAAATAATTATATCACCCTCGTTCTCTCTTCGCTCGTCATCCATAACAACAACAGGTTCACCACGCGCGAATGCGGTAAGTGCCTCCTCTACTGTATCAAAGGAGAACCCAGTGGTTCCTAGTGTGGCGTCTTCTACTCGAGAAGGCACCCAAGCAGGACTAAAGGAGCCATTGTGGGCCCCATTCGTTTTAGCGAGTCTGTGATGCTCTGGCGCAGAATCTTGAACCGTGGCGGTGGGCATTGTAATAAAGAGACCTGCGGAATGCTCTGTTCAAAGTACTGTGTGATCGGATAATAAGGGGGAATATTGACCTTGGTATGTTATTTTACTTCCCGCGATTTGACATCGATTGCTGTGTTGTCAGCAAATGACGTGGACGTGAGCAAGCTGTCGGATCGTAAGCTTAGCGCGCTAGTTTGCTGTAACGCTCATGTTGAGCAAGAGGTGAGAGACCGACGGATTATAATCAGCGAACTTAGAAATCAAGTGCTGAGACGCGGTTCTTCATCACTAATACCATACTACTAATAAAGCCGAAGCAAAGCCGGAAAGCCTGTGCTAAATTTAACCTAATGGGCACTAGGAGTTTGCACACTTATTTCCCCTACTTCGACCTCCGAAGCCCGCGCTTGTTCGGACAGGTTCCTTCAATCAAGCCCAAGGTCTCTCATAGATATCTCAGTCTGAGACTTTTAAAAATAATAAACAATGTCACATCTGGCATCAACTGGTAAATGGGACGCAAGGTATCTTTCTTATCTTATTTCGGGTTAGATGGTTTGACCACGTCTGGTTCGAAGATACGTTGGTCCCGTACCTCATGACGCTGCATACTATGCCAAGTGCATGCTCGGTGGTGTTCTTGCATGCGGTATCACTCATGCCGGCCTCACACCTCTTGATGTGGCAAAGTGTAACATGCAGGTCAGTTTATCTAGCTCTTTCTGGCTCTGTGGTGTCCCATAGCTTTTTAAACAGGTGAACCCTACAAAATACAAGGGCCTCACGACCGGTCTTGCAACGCTCATTCGCGAGGAGGGTCAGACCGGTATCTGGAAAGGCTTCGGTCCCACCTTTGTCGGTTACTCGTTACAAGGCATGTTCAAGTTCGGTCTCTATGAAGTGTTCAAGGACCAGTACATGAACTTGGCCGGTGAGGAGCTTTCTAACAAATACAAGCCCGCTATCTGGCTCGCTGGTTCCGCATCGGCAGAGGTCTTTGCCGACATCGCTCTCTGCCCTCTCGAGATGACCAAAGTCAAGATCCAAACCAGCCCTACTGGCACGTTCCCCACTACCTTTGGTGCCGCCCTTGCGGAGATGAGCAGGACCAAGGTTGAGACTCGCTATCCCTTTGGCTCCCTTGTTCCTCTATGGTCTCGTCAGGTCAATTGCTTTGTTTTGGTTCCGATCACATCTTACTTATGACGTAATAGATCCCCTACACCATGGCCAAGTTCTTCTTCTTTGAGAATATCGTCCAGCTCTTCTACACTCACGTCTTCCCTGAGCCCAAAGAGACGTATGCAAAGACTACTCAGCTCGGTGTCACTTTTGCTTCTGGTTATCTTGCTGGTGTTGTTTGCGCTGTTGTCTCCCACCCGGCTGACACTGTGGTCTCCCTCATGGGCAAGCCTTCCAACAAAGGCAAAAGCATTGGCACTATCGCATCGGAAACTGGCCTAGTCACACTTACAACCAAGGGTCTCGGAACCCGTGTATTGATGATCGGTACTCTCACTGGTACGTGAATTTTACAATATTTTGAAATCATTAACCAACCTCGTTCATCAAGGCTTCCAATGGTGGATCTACGACACTTTCAAGTCATCAATGGGTCTCGGCACCACCGGTGGCAAGTAGACTGCGCACTTTTCTGCACTGGTAGTCAGTGCTTATATGCCTTTCTTCATTTACTTGTCTAATTTACTATGACATGAGGACTCACAATAGATATTTGCTCCTGGAAGTATACCGTTTTTGGTTTACATGGATTATTCCCTCTTGCTATCTCTACCTAGTACACTCCCCGCTATTTTTTCGGCATACAATAGATTACGATTGTATTACGACCAATACCACTCCGTCCTCCTCGCACGTCCGAATCAGCGCGTCACCTGAAACAAAGTATGAACCAAGGATGAGCTCGCCCGAACTCTGTTGCTTTTCGACCGAAAGAATAATGATGCATACGCAGATATCTCGGCTTGGGCGGTGCTTAAACCCGCACGTTAAAGAGCACCCTGGCCCCTCTGGAGCAGCCTGGAGCACCACACTTATTTATAATTCCACAGTTCCATATAATGTACTTTCGATCGAGCAACAGTCCCGGCGGGGTGTGAGCGGCTCTGCATCTGTACAGCCACGACGGGCGGTATTGGCAAGATGCTATCAAGATGCTCCGTAACTTTGATCGTGGCACTCTTATCTGGACACTTGTGAACCGTTAAATTTGCATTAGAATTTGGAACCAGGTCTTTCGCTGATACAGCATCGGTGGCATTGATAAAATGTTCAAACGTTCATCGACGACAGTTACCAGCAGTTACTCACGATTCGATATCGTCCTGGAGCGTGGCCAAGACAACGCGGAACTCGAGTGTGACGAAGAGCATTGAGTCTGAGGTGAAATTCGGTCATTGCTTGGTTACTGTGCAGGAGGGGAAAATAGTTTCAGTGGAGGAACGCGGGGACATGCGTTAATCACACAGGACGGGTTCACAACATGGTATGACGCGAGTGAAATCGATATTTCGGGCGATGCAGTGAGACATGGTTCAACTTGTTGTTGAAAATAACTTGGTTTGCACTCACACGGCACATGCGTGTGTCAGGCGGGGACTGGAACTGAATGGAGTTGGCGTTGAAGTAATCTTAAGTCGCCGGTACACATACGTGACAGCCGACTTGTAGGTCCAGTCAGGTGGGACCTGGAGGGTCCTCACTCCCCGTTCGGATCGCACCCTCGATGTCCGAATGTTGTAATTCATATGTACAAGTAAGTTATCGCCAAGCTACCGTGATTGAATTTATCGTCCGAGATAACGGTGAATCGAGACAGACTGCTGGAAGAAGATCGATCCAAGTTGTTATAAACAGTACTTTAAACCCACGTGTGGTGATGTGCGATGGGTTTGGAAATCGATGAAAACCAAGCGACAAATTTCCGACGATATTGCTATCATAACATATAGCCTTGCTGGCTAGAAGATAGCTGAGTCATTCTGGTCGAACAGCCATAAGCATTAAGAGAATATTTAAAACTCAGTACAAATCGGTATAGTCGACAAAGCCGACGTAAGGAAAAGACCTCCGAAAGACGGGAGGGTAAGATTTGACGATTACCCAAGCCGAACAAAAAAAGAGGACGAGTTGTCACGTCGCCTCCCACGTAGCGTACCGGGCGCGACAACTTCTTCCGTGGCAGTTCATTCAGCGCCCATTTGTTTCTGAGGTTACATGATTCACGCAGGGGCAGGTCACAGTATGTATGTAGGTGGAAATCGCCAATCATTTTTAGAAGACACGAGCACTGGAACGTTGCTCAAGGCTGTCAACCATGACACGCCGAATGAAAAGAAGTGGCAGATTCGAACTTGCGTAAAAGTGATATCGCACGCCCTGAGTTGCACTTTGCAACAAGAGTGACTCCGACTGATCAATAAACGTGGCAAAATTTAAGATGTCGAAGTCTTCGCGACGTCGTCGGGTCGGTTTATCGCGTGCTATCCAATGCAGTGCTAGTACTTGTTGAAATGAATTTGTGATTGCAAGGAAGGTGGATACAAATGAGACACCATTCCGAAGCCTGCCAGCGTGGGAGACTTGTGGAACAATGAGTGCTACCCCCGCCGCCGGGCTGGTAAACGTGGCTGTTGAGTACGTATTTGCAATGGAGCTTGAAAACATAATCATAATTAATGTTAGTTGCGCAGACCGCTATCGTAGGCGAGTCTGGGCTGGCCAGGGCTAGGCGCCGCTGTGCGATGATACTACTTGCATACATATGAACCCTGCACGTGGAAGATAGTTATCGGAGCTGCCTCGAACAAATCCCCATAACGACCGCAATTCAGGCAGAACATGCTGCCAGTGTGGATTATATATATATAATGAACTTGTCAATTTTGGATGCTCGTCTGATACAGGCCCGGCACTGTATTGGCCACTATCATAGTTTGAGTCCATATGCAGTATAAACATAGCGCCGTGGCTGCCATTGAAATATCAATTGGCACATGTAGCACAACGAGCGCTCCACTCTTCAACTTTTCAACCGTTTCCCACTGAGTATTTGTCCGAAAAGATTGAATGACAAACCGAGCAACAAAGCTGGTTGAAAATATACACATACGATCAGTCGCGATGATAGCGAGCCTTGGGTTTGGAGAAATTCATTTTGTTGTTGTCCGCTTGGCATTGAAAACGTGGAGGATATATAGACGTGTCCCATGTCTACAGGGGTGAGTTTCTTTTTTCTCCCTTATTGACTCCGTGGAGGCAAAATGCGAACGGTATTCTACACTTCTCCCGATGCCAACAATTCCCAATAACTCTGAAGAACATTTCTCCCAGAAATTTAACATGACTAGAGGATACAATGTGCAAGGTTCTGCACTAGGTGCACGTGTATTATGTACAAAGCTTCGAGCACTCGGGTAGATCGTGTGAAAATAATTTCGGTTGACCTTGCACCGGCAACGTGCCGGCAGTACTAGTACATGTGACAAAGGAAGGGGCAGCGTCTATCCGATCACTCGTGACGACGCATTGCATTGCATTTTCATTTTCATTTCATTATATAAAGAGCGATTGTTTCAACGCTCTTGTTTCCTTGCCCTTGTGCTTTTGTCGTCGTGCACACTTGATTTCTTATTCTCTTCTGTGATGCACTCTTCCTATTCGCCACTTTTCACTTCAGGTCTTCTAGCGGAGCGACGGGCGGGTCTCTCGTCTGCACACAGCACCAACCTTCCGGTCGTCCCATCAAGTTCAACGGGTACATCTTACAAGGCACATACTGCTGCTGCTAGTGATCATGCCTCGGCATTTTATTTCACTTTGCAAATGGGACAAAGGGATACCGTTGAATTTCGGTCATTCCTATCCCTCGACCTGGCAGACTCCAATCGCTCGATTGCAGGTCACAGGCGCAAGCATTCAAATATCTCAAAGTCTACTAGTTGGACTTGTACAACCGATAAAACCTCAGCTCATGACTTGTCGTAAGTTTAGCCTTTGTACTCATTTGCTTATCGTACTGACCTTTTACGTCTAAAGACGAATCGAAAGACCCGCTTTTGTCCGTCTTCCACCATTACCTTCAGCATGTGCACTCCACCGATCGTCTCGTGAATCCTTGAGGCAAATTCCTTCTCCTAAACCTGCTCCGATATCATCTACCTTACCCGAGCCCCCAACATCCCTTGATCGCGCCCCGAACTTCTCCCCTCCATCAAAGCCACTTCCGTCTGCGACCAACACATCTTTTCAACTCCCCTGTTATCGCCCATTAGCCCATCAGGAAAAGGGTCATCCATGCGCTCCTCGTCAATCACTTCGCATCAAAGACGAAAAAGTCGCATGGATGCTCTGGCATGTCTCGAGGGTCGCTCTCGTGCTGCTAACCGCATCCCGAGGTCGGGTCTACGAAAAAATTTCATGAGCATGAGCGATGATGAGGATGATGAGGCTAAGGCGCTTTCATCACTGGGAAATAGTCCCTTCATTCAAGTCGAGGATTTCGGCTCGTTTGCAGATATCGAAGACGAAGGAGATACGGTCATCCATCTCTCAAACATCTTTCCCCCAAACAACCCACTTTTCCTCGTTCAGTCTCAGTCTCACAGCCCCCGAAACGACAGAGAAGAAGCACTGTCGACACATGGTTTCCTCTGAAAAGCTTCATCGATCTGAAAGACGATGATCTATCATGGAATTGGCGGAGCTTTATCGAGATCGGCGGTGTCTCATAAGGCAGCTCTCCCATATGCTAAATCACACTTCAGGCTGCGCATATCCTAGAAAATCCTTATTTCGATATTATACCTTGCGGTGCAAGCACATAGGATGCGTCAGTCTTCGTGCGTATATCTACATCTTCACTTATTATCTATGAATACCCACAGCCTTTTAGTATACCGCACTCGAACAGTTTCTTCTTTCATGTTCATTATTCAACACTTGTACTCTACTCATTACATGCACTCGAGCGATTAACCATACACACATGATATCTTCGCTTTCTGATCCTATCGTTTGTGCCCTGACTTCAGTTGTCCGTCGTAATGATGCACGGCTCTTGAGGAGTAATTTATCTTGGTTTTAGATCTGTTTCACTTGCATGCCTGGGTCCATCACTGTCAGTTCATGGATTTACTTCCATTGTGCTCGGACTACGTCCCAATGCCAAGCGAGACACCTGCTGTTGTGATGGTCAGATCAGTACTAGTGCGTCGCTCAACTTTGACGCTTAGAATCTCATCTCGATTGCCCTGAGCCACGAGAGAAGACGGTAATGATCGCTGCCGTCACCGACGCCAAAGTTTACTACTACAAATTAAATGTTTCGGAGATAGCAACGTACGACATCGTCGTCAAGACACGGAACCAATTCGGGGATACAATACCTGTGTAACTCAGAACTGAGACTCCGCAGCGCTGATTCACGTCAGACAGCGTGAAATAGTCCCGGAGCGCAAAACCACGGTCTTGGGGCATTCATATATACCATCTCCTCGGAAAGTCTATTGTTGTGGCTATCTAATCTAAGCGCGTCTGAGTCGCCCCACTTTCCTCTGTCGGTTTTTTGGTCACATCTGGCTTCCGCATGTTGCGGGTCACTATGAAGAGTGAGCGTCAACACTAGTGTGTCCTGAACGTGCTCACTACTAACTATAAGACGCCCCCATCGATGCCATCGACGCAAACAGTTTGAACCCGATGCGGTACCAGGTTTCCCGGCATGCAATAAAGCCTAATAAAGCAGGTGCTGTCCGTGTCAGTGATGAGTATAACACAATTGATCAGGGTAGCATAAGAGCAAAGTTTGATCCAAAACTACCTCTATCAAAGTGACTGTGGGCATGCCGCATCAACAAGACAGCTTGGCAATCTAGGTACCAAACCCTACCCCACCGGCCGGACCTGTTGAATGACTAACTGTCGAATGTACGTATCGATGATGATCCGGGCTATTCTCAGTAATTGATGGTGGTATGAATGTCACAGGCACTTTGCTGAACCTGAAGGCAGTGTGCGGGAGCGGAACATGTCGTTAGTCCCACCGGGAGACTTGAAGGAAGACGAATGTGGTATTTGTTTGGTATTGTCGGCGACGGCGTATCAGTGGTATGAGTTACATACAGTATACGTATTGTGAGATACGAGGAGAGGCTGTGAGGTATCAAGCAAAGTTTAAAACATGTCCATACAGCGGGTTTGAAATTGCGGTTTGAAAAGCTGGACATACCCTCTATAAGTTAGATTCTGAGCTGCAATATATCGTCCGATTGTACCAGTAATCGAGTGTAAGGGACCAACAAAATGATAGGGTTGACTTGTTCACCTCCCGAGTAATCTGGCCAACAGCGTGGCTGGGGATGGTGAAGGCGATGGTGGAGAAACAGGGGGTTCGAGACGTTGAGGGCTGGATGAATACCGGACGTGGTATGACACCGGGTATGTCGAGTACCGCTCAGGTGGCGGAGCCACACGGTACTTCGACATGCGGGGAGGCAGTGGAGGAGCCGAATGGTTGGCAGGGCGGTTGGGCTGCGATGGCGACGATTTGTGTAGATATGTTTGGTGTGGATGTGTGCGAGGCCGCTGGGATGTCGAAGCCGGATGTGAAGAGAAATGGGAAGCGAGTGCGGGTGCACTAGATTTTGATCGGAGTTTTGCCTTCTCCGTGGCATGCTCTATCTCGCGCTTCTTCCTTTCATTCCTTTCCTTGTCGCTGGATTCTTTTACCTTTCTTTCTTTGTCCTTGCGGGTGTCTTTGCTCTTCCCATCCTTTGTTCGCTCTTTTGATGCACCCGACCGTCCTTCTCCATAGTGGATGGGAACAGTGCTCCTTGGCCGTAACTCGGGCATATCGATTTTACTCAGATGGACTACAATGTTGCTCGGCGGAGTATAATCCTTGCCTTTTGCTTTGTCTTTATTATCGTCCAAATTAATCGTTTTCGGACCCTTGCGTGGTATCTGGACCGTATCATACAGAACATATTGATAAAGATCTTTATCGCCTAAATGGCTTTAGTAAATGGAGCCGCTATAAGCCTAGAAACTTACCTGCTTTGTGCCGGATACGTTTCGTTTCCTCAACGACTTGTAACACTTTGGGAGCCTGAGGTGCATCTGAAGAACGTATGGATATAAACAGCATCGCTTCGTCCTGAAATCCAATTCGTTATTCTGTCCCTGTTATTACGAGCACGACCAACGCACACGCAGCATCCGTGCACAATATTGCGCGTAATCCTTAGCAGAACACTCGTCAACGATCAAGACTTCATTCACTTCGCCTCTGGATGCCTGGATTTCGGCAACCCTTTCGACACCTGTTTTTGGCGTGGGTTTTGGCGGTACGACTGGTGGAGAAGATGTAGGTCCGCCTGACACCTTTCGCGCAGTCATCTCTGTAAAGCTTTTTAGAGCTGAAGTAGTTGCAGCAAGAGCAGCAGGTGGTGACATTGTGTTGCTTTCGTTGGGTGAATCGTGGTACGAATCGCTGACATCTTGGAAGGTGAGCAGTGCAGTCAAGATGACGATTTCTAGCCCTTTTCGATCATCTATATCAAACCTGTTTACACTTATCAGTCACGTCGCGGGGACTCTTATATTCAACCTTGAGCTCACCTATTGAGATTGTAATCTAGAATTTGGACGGATGCTGTCTTTATTCTACCAGGAGGTTCCTTGGTCACCGCAACCATAACAGGCGGGTCGGGCTTTCTGATCATGAAACATTCCTCTCGTTTCCATTCAAATTCGTGTCTGCCATAGTGTGATTGAGTTTGTATGACAGTTGCTGTGTTCAGAGACTCACTCCTCCCATTTGAAGGACCATCGGAAAGTCAGGGTGCCAGTATATTTCAGCTCGGTGACCTTAGAGGGATTGTATAATTCTACCGTTTTATGTTTACTCGTCGCGCTCGGAGAAGTAGCAGAGACGAGCAAGGATTCTGAAATGGGGTCTGCCACAGCTCAATCAATTGACGATTGAGCCCAATTGACAACGTACACACCATACACCTCGATTTTATAGACTTGCCCGGGTATACGTCGCTTTCGGTAGTGTACGTTTCCCGAAGGATCAGTGAGGTCAATCACAAGTCCACTCGAGTCAGAGGTGTTTGGTGTCAGAAGGAGCGTGAAGAGATTTTGGTCCAGACTCATGGTAGATCAAGCTCTGCTAAGAGTGCCCAAGTAAGTCGCGGTAGATTACGGGCCAGGTGAATGATAATCAGCCTCCAAACGTAGTATATAGAGAAGTGTGTTGAGTGTTAGGCATGAAGGCCAGTCATTGGCTTGAGAAAGGTCGGCGATGCGCAGCTCGCAGGTGTGGTATTCAGGAAAACACGGAGCAGAGTACTGCGGGTTTGAGTGCACAGTCTAATACGATCTATCAGAGCCCTGCAATTATGGCTGTTCATCAGGCTGTACATACAAATTCAATGCCACGTAGCATTTGACGTAGCATTATGACTTATATAATACGGCAATCTTCGCTTGTCTCAGGCATCTTGTGGCTTGTTTTCTATACTATGTACGCAGATTCTATGAACCCGTCTCTTCAGCACCCTCCCGTGCACATATTTCGGGTTCGCGAGGAAGATGATCCAGAGCTCGTTAACTAGGAATCCGGTCTTTGTTAATCTGTCTCGTCAGATGGCGAAGTCGATACCGACGTCCCCTTCTGACTCGTATGAAGATATAGTACTGAATGGCGCGAAGACTGTCTTGTTGTTTGGCGATACAAGACGTCTCGGAAGGTCAGGTGAAGGTTCCCGTCGTCGTATTCGACCCAACAATTAAGGAATGATTAATGATTATTGGCCCGGCGCCGGAGTGTCATAATGGGGCTGCAAAAGAGTCTGGTGCGAATCTATTCATTCCTCATATAAATGACTACTTATATAGAACTGTGTATCGTGGTGATGACCGGATCCTATGGATCTACGGTGTGCGGTAGCACCCTGATTCCGGGCCGGTGGTTGATCATCGGGATGCTTTTTGTCACTGGTAAGCGGCTTTAGATGTCCCAGATCGGCAGACCGTTGACGAGACGACAGAGGGAGTTTACGGGAAGGTCATACAGTTCAGTAAACAACACATGAGAGCTTATGCATTGCCAAAATCAAAGTCCCTGGTGCCATAAGCAGATGCAGAATCGATTGCAACTTGAATACACCAGGTCTATAGGTCAGTATCTGAATGGCAGTGTGCAAAGTTGGCAAGTCTCAGCAACTAGCCACTAGGCTGCTACTAATCATGCTACTGCCTGATGCGCCATGTTTCGCTGCAGAACCCTCCTGGTTTGCCAGCAATTGCCAGATCAGAGTGGCATCAGGTTGCCGGGAAAATGGCGTAGTATTGTCAACAACACTATTTCTAGTATATTTGAAATATTCTCATTCATTCTGCCATTTCAATGCCACGTTGGCTGGACAGAGTTCTTCCAGGTTCTGCTAGGTCTGCTATCGGAACTGTTCCAAACTATTTTTCCCGCAACACTACGATTGACCTTGTCGAACAAGATCGCAAGGTGACAGCAACAATGCCTCATCCTCAAACGGATCTCTTGGACTCTTTGTCCGCTGAACTCTCTCAGCGGGTCAAGGATCATGTAGATAAAGTCCTGCTGGAGATCATACGGCCGAATTTTGCATCTCAATTTGCGCAGGGTGCTCCCGAATTGGCGGGGTTCCGCGAGGCCATCGCGCAGAGCGACTCCAAGGATGATGTTGACTTCCTACGCAGCTTCCGAGAATTCATTCCCATCACAAACTACGAACCTTATAGGCCGTTTATAGCAAAGTTTTTGGCGAGCCCTTGCATGGAGGCTGACGTCAAGAACATGTTCGCCCCGGGACTGCCCTACTTCTTAGCCATGACCAGCATGACATCTAGGAACGCGCCAAAGTTGTTCCCAAGGTATCGGCCTCCCCCGCACCTTTTGCAACAAAACTCATACCAGGGGTATTCGCCATCAGAGGGTACCGCATTAGCACCATCCTCTTTGAGACCTTGGCAAGTCTTAAAAATGGATTGTGAGGACGGTCAGAGCTCAAAGGAGGTGGCTGTCTGCTCCACGAGCGTGGGTATCCTGCGAATGGGAATGAACTGGGACCTCGAGCATGACAAGGATAGACTCGATCTGTGGGGTAAGCTGGTGGTGCCAAATTCCTTGTGCAAGCTGGGCGCTGATCCCTGGGCAACTTTTAGTTCCAGGAAAAACGGATCCATTTGCAATATCTTTGGTTAAAAACTATCGCACTTTATTTATTCTGAATGCGCTATTTGCACTGGCGGACTGTCGAGTCACAACCATCCGCTTCTTATTTGCCAATGTGTTCGTCATTTTTTTGCAGTACGTGGAAGATGAATGGCCTTTACTTGTCGAATGCATCGAGAAGGGTATCATCCCGGATATTGAAGACCTGGGTGATCTGCGAGCACCTTTAGAGGTCATATTTTTGTTGATCATCGCATTACATTGAACTCACAAGTTCTCTCAGAGACATCTTACTCCCAACCCTGTTCGCGCTGCCGAACTTCGCGAAATTGGGCCTCCTGTCATCCAGGGCTGGGCGGTCCGCGTGTGGCCTGACTTGAAACAATTCATTGGAATCACTGGAGGTCAGGCTGCTGTTTCTGTTCCAAAGGCACGTCAAGTATGCAAGGGTCACTGCCCAACTGACAGCCAGTGACACAAGGTTATTCACCTCCTCGGACCTTCCGTTGCCATCAAGTCTCATGGGTATGGCACTGCAGAATGCGGTCTCGCCAGGGCATACCATGAAGGCAACCCTAATACTGACTTCAAGGTGGCGTTTAGAGATGGGGTTGTCGAATTTCTGGATGTGCGTTCTGACGATCCTTCAGACCGTGTATTGTCTCCTGTATGAATCATTAACTGCATCTCATCTTTGTCTTCTCATCCCCCTTAGTGGGAACTCGTAACTGGCGGAAAATACGAGCCCATCGTGACGACCCACAATGGCTTGTGGAGATATCGCATCGCTGATGTTATCACCGTTAAAGGCTTTGCTCCAGACGACGGCCTACCTGTTATCAATTACCTTCACAGGCGAAAGTGAGTTGTGATGTCATCAGTGTTATGCTTAGCAGCTGAAACGCCCGCCGAGGAAGTGACTCGCTTGGAGTGACATTTGGAGTATCGTGTACAGAGTCGCAGTTGACGGACGCGATCGTCTCTGTCGCTCAACAATCAATCGGCCAGATCATAGCTTTCACTATTGTACTGGATGATCGAGACAAACCTGTTACTTATGGGTACTTGATAGAGCTAGCAGGAGAACTAAGTTTGTGCTTGCTCCAAAGCTCATTCACGCGACTGTACTGATTGATGTTCACAGGACAAGACGCGAGAATGGTAACAAGGCAAATTTTTGAAAATCTCATCTCAGCAAGCGATGATTATCGCCTCGTTGTTTGGCAAGGCAAGTCAAGAAAGCCTACCATCCGTATCGTGGACAAGGGCACCTTTGCAGAATATCACAGGCAGAAATGCGAGCAGATGAACATCACGGTGGGTCATGTGAAGATTCCGGTCGTCATATCCGACCCAGCAATGAAGAAATGGTTCCTTGAGCGAGTTGTAATGGAGTTGTGATACTTTCTTGACCTGTTAGAGTGAAATTTGACAAATCTACTCCACTTCGGAATGCTATTGCTAACAAGGCACAAATCACTGAGAAGCTGCGCTGATGGCCGAGAGAATAGTCGAAGGTTCTCGAAATCGAAGCCAGGTGATTAAACCGATGCTATGATGAGAAGAGCCAAATTAAGGTGCGGAAGCTGCCACATGCCGCATGATAGGGCCATAGTATTATGCATCGAGGGATACGCGTTAACCATGCATAACCGGGTTGTCTCTAATCAGCCGTGGTTATGCATGAATATGACACTATAGCCTGCTGTTGCGACGCAATACATATTTTAAAGGGAATATTGATTTTACGACGCATCTTTTCCATCATGTATGGAGAACGCAGCAGGTGCATCCGAAGCAGGTAACAAATTGTAAGCCTGAACCACGTATGACAGAAGCAGTAATCAATAAGTCTCAATAGGTCCATCCTACTAGGCCCTCTCCATATTCATTTATTTCTCTCCTTCGTCATCCAGGTCCTCCTACCCGGCGTGCGGGTCAGCCAATCACAGATACTCGTACCCGTACCACCTGACCCACAATTCGCTGCGGGTGCCGCCCGGGTAAGCTTCACCCGTGTCCCTATCAGGGATTGCGAGCAAGTTCCGAGTGATATGTGATAGGGTACCATGAACTTAAACTTAATTCTCCATGTCGTACTAGAAGCATCAACGTAATGATCAGCGTGTGCACATCTTCCCACTGCAAGCCATGTAATGTAGCGTGTAATGTTATGGAATGCGTGCTGTCGAGCTGCAGGAAAAGTGAACCATCTACCGTTGACAGAGCTGGAAATTATCTTCAAGTTCGACATGAATAGTTGCTCACCTGTCTCTTGCTGGATATGACAGCAAGAGCTGAGCTAACACCAAATATTCTCACCGAGAGCTCTCTCTCAGGATATACCAATACATAATGGGAATAGCACGACGTCCGAAGGACCAACGGCCGTGATTCATATCGAAACCTACCTTAACCGTTATATTCTCGAACTGACAGTTGCCCTTTTATATTCCTGGTAGATCATAACTTCATATAGTAGCATATAGCAAAGTTGTACATAGTATCTCGGACGATTCCATGAGCAGATCCACGACACAGGCCATGTATTTGGAGATCTTGCTGTTAGCATCAGCTCTAAGCGATCCTGAACTCTATGAGCATTGTGTCTACAAGATCATAAACCTGGGTGAGTGCTAGACCAGCGGCGGTCCTGTCCACCATCATTAGTCGATCATCGAATAGATCTAGAAGGAACTTGCCCAATGGTCTCCAGCTCTTCCAAGGTTCGTTCCTTGCTATTGAAAGCGAACCACATAGTCAGGTCTGTTTGGTAGGTGTTGTGATTGCCTGCCCCGAAGTTCGGCAACATGGGTTCAGGGGCCTTGAGAATCATGAATTCAGAAATACGCCAGGCTGCACTCTGAGACTCACGACGCTCAATCCGTTAGTTCCTACAGCAGGTCTCTGCAATGTGTGAGAGATCACGAAATCATCTAGCACAAGATAACAGTTTTAGAGTAAACACCACATTGAACCGCAGATAGCACTCACGGATTAGCACTCGGCTGTTTGGTCCCATTGCCTTGCGAACGTTACGGAGGATTGTCGTTGCCTCAGCGTCCGGCCAATTGTGAATAACGTGCCTCAACTACGTAACAAGATGATCGAATTACCGGCGACGAATGGAAACGAAAATAGGCTCTTACATAGTAGACATCCTTCCCAACAACAGGTGCATCCTCGAGAAAATTAATTGGGATGAACTCCACACAACCGCCAAGCGATGTCTCAGTGACAGGAGCATTCTTCTCCCATGCCTAATCAGATATAAACGATGTGCCCGCTGGAATATTTATGTGTGCTGCATATCTGAACTCACATTTTGTGCTAGCGCCATGACTTTCGGGAGATCTTGGTTGGTTATTCTAAGGTGAGGGAACATTTTCGCCAGAGGAGTGGAAAATGCTCCAATGCCAGATCCAACATCCACTACAGACGATATATCGTTCCAAGGATAATCTTACGACCTGCCTCTCAGACGTGTTAATGATTCGAAATTTGCAATGGCTTACGGTGTAGCACTGCAGAGGCGCCCAGCATATCACTCTGGCCAAGCATGGCCCTGTGGAACGCCTATAGATAGCATTGTGAGCCATCTTGGGGTCCAAGGGTGACTGCATACACACATCACGTTTCTCTTCCTAAAATGTGTCAAGGTAACGAAGGGGTAGTGTGATGACAAAAACTTACGTCATCCTCCATCATTTCGTAGTGATCCATGCTTATGCCCTCCTTTCTTAAGGCAAATACCCGTGGTGCTTTGTCGACCTCATGCGACATTGAAAATTCTTCGTCGATCATAGTTTCATAGACAACTCCAGCATATTTCGAAATATCCTGGCTATGAAGTCCCGCATAACACCCAGTGTTGTTCGTTGACTTGAGTATGAGGGATAGTCGGTTGTTTGCGAAGATGTCTTGCTCAACTGTTTGACGCATTACATGTTTCAGAGACAATCTCAAACAACGATATGAACATCACCTTCTTTAAAGCAGCCCATGAGGGTCAAAGCTCGTAAGACACGTGCAGTCTTGACCTTGTCGAGGTTGACCGCTTCAGCCAGCTTATCCACGCTAAGGCCTTCCGGATATTGGTCTAGAACATCTGCAAGACGCGCTCGTAAGGCAACGCCTGTGCACGCCCAGTTATAATTGAAAACAAGCTAAGGAAATTAACAACACAACAGAGATCACTTACACACGACACTCACATTCATCACCGTGTGCTGGGGGGGCGCTAGTATTGAGCTCAGTTGATGGTATGCGCCTTCGAGTAGCCGAATCGCCTTTTTGAGGGCAAGGGTATCTGTCGTCAGGTCAAGGGGGTGGAAGTTGTTGCATCGGTACTGGGAACCCCATGCCCGGTTTTCTTGTACTCTGCGATTGCTTGGTGCGCAGAGGAGTTGATGATGTCCAAAAGAGCTTCAAGCTTAGCCTCTGGCTCATTGAAGTCCGTCATCTTTCCGGGGGTGATGATACTATGGGTAAATAAGCTTTCTTATTACGACATATATATATACTTACAGAGCTTATGGTACCCTAGTTGCCATTCGGACCATACTCGGTTTCTTCAAACAGTCCCACCACAATGAAAAGACCCCAAACTCTACTCAATATGTTCGCTTCGGCTTCATGTTGCAGCCATCCCCGAGTGTGTAGTGCCCTGTTGACATTCCGATTCTTCCGAAGTATGCATCAGTTAGCATCAGTGGCAAAAACCTCAACTACCTCTCGGTAAGCATATTTCTGTTGTTCTCGCGCATATCTAATATTCTGCGCTGTTCTGTCATGTTCGCGCCACATTCCCTTAGACGCCAATCACCGAGCTACCTGACCAATACTCGATATCGACATCCCGACTTCAAATTCTGTGTGATTGATAGTCGACGGTAACTGCATGGCACTACGCATCAGTAAACCGGTGAGTTCTTGCTGGCCATTATGCTGATTGCGGTACATTTACATGGTCATATATTGCTTTATATTCCATTGTGACGAAATCCTTTTCTATTTATTACGACATATTACGATATATTCTTATCACCAGTTCTCTGATGGCCGCCGCCCCGCCACTACTTTGAGTTATTGACCGGCTCAAACATGCTTCAAGTTCGCCTGCCAAATCTCTTCGAGATCGACCAGCCTGCATTACTCGACTTGTCCGTGGCTATTTATGTAAGACAGGGTGGTCCCGACTCGGAACCTAGTCATCTTTGGCCCATCTTTACGACTCTGCCGCTAGTTTCTTAAATCGCCAATCTTACTGATTCTCAGTGGCGCATTCATTGTGCGTTATCATACGGAGCATATTTTCTCATACAACCACAGAAGCAACTCGCTGACAAGTCACATTAACCAAAACCGTGTTTCAGAAAATCAGCATGATTTTCTCGTTGTACGCAGGAGTATAACTACATCCGTCCACGAGAGTGTCGATAATTTTATCTTGGTGTTACACAGGAGTATAACAACACCTATTAATCAGAAAATCGGTAATTTCATTTTAGTGTACACAGGAGTTCAATGACACCCCATCAGAAAATCGGCTTATGCCTCTTGTTGAAGGCTGGCTATCACTACATCCGTTCGTTCGCCCTGTAGCCTGTAGGTCTTCGGAACCCTCCTTCATATTCATTTGATCCTCTTCTTCGTCATCCAGATCATCCTACCCGTGCGGATGAACCAATAGTGGCAATCGCGGGTACCCATACCCGTACCACCCGACCCACGATTCGCGCGCGGGTGCTGCCCGGGTGCTGCCCGGGTGAGTACCCGGGTATGCCTCGCCCCTGTTAAACCCTATCAGGGATTGCGAGTAAGTTCCGAAGAATAACAGGATACCATGCACTCAAAATTAGTTCTCCGCGTCGTCTACGGGAAAAAAACATCAACGTAATGATCAGTTTGTGCACATCTTCCCCACTTCTGAACTCTCTAAAAAAATCCTAGTTTGCACCAGCTACCCGTGATTGCACGGGGATTGAATTTCTGAGCTTCAACCTTTAATGTGGCGTTCGCGAATAAAAGTGTTCGCGAAGATCGAGCGTTCTTCAGGAAGATGGAATCCCTTCTCAAAATACCACTCATTCTCTCGCCCCCTATTGCGATGCACGTAGCATTCACGCCCCCCCATACCCCCACGAGTGATGATGTTGTCCACGAGAACCTCATCGAGTGGATTCTCCTTCGGGATATTAAGTATGGGCTGCCAATTACAAAGGTAGCTTATCGTTGGTATTCCACGATCATCTCTAACGAAACTATCAGGCAATTTCCTGGGCTATTGCTTTTACAGAGCTCGCTATCACTGCCTCACACGCCACAGATCCCAACATTTTCCCCAACAAGGTACAAGCGGTAATTGGCTCACTTCGAGTGATTCAAGACGTTTCTATCACTTCTCCTTTCCTTTGCGGCACCGCACTCATTGTCCTTGGGGGATTCATTCGCTGGTGGTGTTTTCGCACCCTTGGTCGTTTTTTTACATTCAAGCTCAGTGTCCGCAAGGGGCACCAGCTTGTCACAAGTGGACCGTATAGGGTCGTCCGCCACCCATCCTACGCGGGAGCCGCTCTGCTAACCATCGGCCAGTTTATATTGCACGGATCGCCGTCTTCATTGGTTAGACACTCAGGGATTTTAAACATCCCCGCATTGAAAGCGATTGCGGTGGTAGTGCTGATGGGGAGAATGATTGTTGTAGCATGCCTCATACTTAGGATCAAGCACGAGGATGAGGTGGTGAAGTCAATTTCCAGAGCAGAGTGGGAGAACTGGGCTAAGGTAGTCAAGTACCGCCTCGTTCCTGGCATTTACTAGCCCCATTATGCACGTCACGTAATGTTGTGGAATGCGTCAGATGCAGAGAAAGTGAACCGTTACCTACTGTTGACAAAGCTGAAATTTTATCTTCAAGTTCGATATGAATAACTACCTACCTGTCCCTTACTGTCCTTCGCATAATGATTTTATCAAGTTTGGTGACCCCCAATTAACGCAATTAACTCCTAGCACATTAACCCTACTAACCCTCCCAAAATCGCAGATCCATTTCACTAACCTCTTAATCGGTTATATACAACTCTTTTAACGGTCTTCTTTTTCTGCTTCAGAGTAGGATCCTTTGGGGTCGTGGACCCTGTGTTGGGCATAGTCTCGTCATAAGCTGAAAGTTCTTCTGTATGTGGTGGGGGAATATACTTGGTTAGTGTGATCCGAACTCGTACTCCGTCACATAAAGTGAACAAAAGGATGACTACGGATGTCAGTACAAAGATAGTTAGGCGCGGCGTTCGAGCTACGATATAAACTGCTGGTGCTCGTCTTCTTAGTTTGCTTCCATCAGTACTATCTGTGTTACTGATTTGGTCTCTTTGTTTCCGGCAGCGACGCCACGGAATGTGGCGTCTTCCCTTTCGACAAAGAGTATGGTGACAGAAATTATAGCGCGGGGTGGTGTATGATAGATCTACGTGTTTTACTAGTATATTTTCTGATGCAAAATTTACAGCTCACTGAATGTTGGTTTGAGGTGGCCGGTACTACTTACGAAGCGGATTAGGTGAGGGGTGACTTTCTCGGATGTGAGTACATGTGCGATGGACGTTGCGCTTCGTCCGACAACAGCATTTGCGAATATGTGACGTTCACGTCTGTACTGCGGGCAGTCGAAAATAGATCTTTTGACGGGTTAGTAATTTAGTAACATCACTGATGATCAATGCATTAGGGATGGGAAGACAGACTTCACGTTGCCTTTCCGTGAGCTCATACATCTACAACTTTAGCCGCTCATTGAGCTGCTCATTGACCGCTGAGTTTGGGATAGTCCAGGTCAAGCGAGTTGAGGCGAGTGGCACGCGAAGTGAGAGCTGATAAAACGATATATATCTCAGAGTCTTTCAAAGATCTCGGAGAGTGGCTAAAGTACCTGATAAAACAATATATCTACTCGTGTGTTAGCTAGGTAGAATAGTGGGAATATAATCAACTTACATCTCAGAGTCTTTCAAAGATCTGAGATGTTTCTACAAAGGTGCCGGTACTTTATACTATGGTCAGGAAAGATAAGGTAACATAGAGATGGACTTCAAATAAATGTTGATGTCAGCCGACGTCAACACATCATGATGTTCTACGCACTCATTGCACTCGACCAGTCTCACTTTCATCTGCTCAATCCTTCATCCTCCAATGCTCCTGATGCTCCCAATTCCCCAGGTTCCAACACTCCCCCTCAAGCGCCATTGTCCAAGCTCATCCGAGCGCGAAGCTTCTGGAGGTGAGGGTGAGGCAAAGCTTTTGTGAATGCGTCCACGACGTTGTCCTCGGTTGGACAATAAATGAGTGCGAACATGCCATTCTTTACATGCGTGCGAATGAAATGATACCATAGATCGATGTGTTTGGTCCTCAAGTGGAATTTGCTGTTCGACGCCAGAGCTATGGCAGCCTGGTTGTCGCAGTACATGGGGGTAGGTAATTCGATCGGATCGTAGGGTTCATTGAGTAGGTACTGGAGGTAGAGTACCTCGTGTGTGACAGTGGTAAGTGCAATGTATTCCACTTCAGCTGTGGAGAGAGCGATTAAGGGCTGCTTGTGAGCACTCCAGGCAACTGCTCCTCCATTGAGCATGACTACATAACTGGACATGGAGTGCCTATGGGGTTGTGAAGCCCAATCGGCATCCACAAACACCTTGATTCTGGCTTCCATTCCTCCAAGTGTCAGTCCCATGTCTGCTGTACCTTTCAGGTATCTGAAGACGTGTTTGGTTGCCTCCCAGTGCGCTCAGCCTGGGTTGTGCATGAATTGCAACAATGTGGCTACCAAGAATGCAATGTCGGGACAGGTACTGGTTGTGGCATACATCAACAAGCCTATGGCTCACTGGTATGGTATGTCCTGCATCACCTTGAGGTCCATGTGCGTTGACAGTGACTGTTCCACTGATAGGAGTGTTCCAGTGTCCATGGGCATCTGCGCTGTCTTTGCATCTGTAAGGTTGAATCTCTCCAGTATGGTGTCAACATATGCACATTGAGACAGGGTAATGGTGCATGCTTTGTGGTCTCGCTTGACCTTCAGGCCCAAAAGCCACTTAAGTTCTCCTAGATCTGAGATTTCGAAGTGCTCTTGGAGCTGGGACTTGAAGCATTTGATATGGGTGAGGTGGTTAGTGGTGACTGCCATGTCATCCACTGAAATGGTGATGACAATGTGTTCGGAGGGGGAGCACTTGAAATAAACAGCTTGATCAACCTGTGAGCAACTAAATCCCATCTTCACAAATACCCCTGCTAACTCCTCTGCCCATTCGAACCCAGCTTGTTTTAACCCTGGCAGACTACACCTAAGCCTCAGTACCTTTCTCTCCTCACCAGGCTTCAAGTATCCCAGGGGCACCTGCATGAAGATTTCTTCCTTCACGTCCACATAGAGGTAAGCACTCTTCACAT